TAATTTTTAGCAAAAAAAAAAAAGACTTCAACTCTCATATAAAAAAAAAAAAATATATATATATACATCTCATGATCCACTGACCGGATCTTAACCACATTAGTATGGGACCTACCTTTCCGATGCAAAAAGAATTATCGAAATCGGTTGACGTGGTCCAAAGTTATGCGGTAACATACATCAAAAAAAAAAAATAAAATCTGACGAACTGATAACCTCCCCCTTTTTTGGAAGTCGGTTAAAAAAACAAAACTTTATAAAAATTCAAAGTTAAAACAAGCTGTGAAACTTACTATTGACATCTCATCGCCTGCGATAGCTCGCAAGCGATATCTCTTGCTATCTATGTATATTCTGCGATGGCAATGCCACGCGGTCTCCACAAGCGATTCATCGCCGGAGATCTATCGCAGCAGATGAAAAATCGCTAATGGAGACAGCAAGTAATGAATGGTAGGAAGGTTCAGACTCCGACAGTTACATTTCGCAGACATAACTTAAAGAAAAGATATTAAAAAACCAAATAGTTTCAAGTTATACTACACTCATTAAGAAATAGCTTTTACATTCAAACTTGACATTGTGTTTTATTTGCCGTGTGAAGCTTTAAAATTAATTTAAAAGCTTTTGCATACCAAATTAGGTTAAGATATCTCTAAAACAACTATCAGTTAAATTATATACCTTCAATATACCGTTTTTGCTACAAAATCTCCTCGAAAGGACCTCTGGACACATCCAATCAGGGACAATTTCCTTATGGCCACTTTTCGCAACAAATTTAAGCATCTGAAGCAATACAATTTTTTTCGCTTAACTTGTATGGGACGGCCCACTGTGTGGCGTTTTCGTTTCTACGAAAAATGTTACCTTCCCATCATTGCCCTCTAAACACAAAAACTAAGAATCGGGCAATGAAAGGGGAAAATATTTTGTAGAAACGAAAACGCCCTTTTTTATATTTCTTTTGTTTATTTAATGTTTAATACAGGGACGTGAACCGGGTGAAAAAATTAGCCGGTTCGGTTCAGTGGTTCGAACCGTTTTTTGCACTTTTGGATTGGTTCATCAAATCGGTTTTTTTGGTCTTTGAACCGGGGTTTCGGTTCGGTTCAAGGGTTCGAAAAACAAAAAAAAAAATAACGCGCAAGTTTAAGTGTCCAGTGTCTGTCAAATGAGATGCGCTGCCTTTACATTTGATATTGTCACATGGTAAACAATCATGGTAGGTATTACCATGTTTAACAAAAAGAAAAAAGTGCGTACATTTATCTATTGAAAATTGGTTGCAACGAAGCGCTAAACCTTTATAGAAAATGGTTCGGTTTTCGGTTCGGATCAAACATTTGTGGAAAATTTCGCTTCGGTTAATGGTTCAGTTAATTAATAGAAAAAAGCTGTTTTCCGGTTCACGTCCCTGGTTTAATATTGTTTTTTTTTTGTTTATAAATAACTTCATATAAATCCAAATTTCAATCTTTGTTCAAAAATTATAAAAATTCAACAACATTTTAAACCTTTTATTCATTTATGCAGTTTTACAGACCATTCAATTTTAGTACAACAAAAGTGCATGATTCTAGTGGCTACAAAATACCGTTAATTTTTGGCAGTTTTTGGTAACTAACCTCATTTTATGCTGGCGTCACTGATCTACAGTTTTTTTGCCTTGTTTTGAAAATATTTATGTATGTATTTACCTAGTCGTTTGTACGTACTTATTAGTACCAAAATTCTGCATTAAACCATACAATTTTTTCTGTGATTACACAGCGTTATTTATCGTACTCATATCTACATAGAGGACTTTATTGCTATTTTAACTTAGACCTGGTTTTAGGAAGTTTACTTCTGACAAATGAATTTAACAAAAACAAAAAAAATCATAGAAAGACCATAACTACGCGCATTAATTTTTTTTTAATTTCTATCATCTTCCAGGGTAAATAAAATCTTTTGCATTGTATTAGTAAAATATGTTGAAACGTAGCACCGCCAAATTGTGATGAGACTCAATCATACAAAATTCCTCATACACCAAGTGGAAATATGACATTTTGATAAGCTTTTTTTGATTTTATATTAATTTAAAATTAAAGTGATTTTTCATAAATTAACTTGATGTAACTTGTATAAACTATTATTTAATATGCTTATGATATTTATTAAGATATTAAAAAAAATATATAAAATGTATATATATATTTACATACAAAATATTATTATGTAAGCAATGCATATGTACATATATAGTACATACATAAACTGTTAATGCGTAATAAAAGAAAAAAAGAAAGAAATGAAATTAAAAATTGTTGTGCTAATTGCAGTGTGACCAGGTTGATCTTTTTGAGGCTAGATTTAGCATTTAATTGTATGCCATGGCCTCAGAAACTTAGATGTGACTTCGTAGCCTTTTTTACCTAACGCCCTATTTCAGAATTCCTCTCAAAAACGCCCTGTCTCAGCAGCCGAATAAAAAACGCCCGTTTTGAAGTGAGATAGGGCGGTTTTGAACCGAATTGTGAGATAGGGTGTTTTTCAAAAAAAATTCTAAAATAGGTCGTTCTTGAAAAGTTTTTTTTTTTGAGATAGGGCCTTTTCGAACTGGCTGCCGAAATAGGTCGATCTTCAACTCAACAATCGATATTTTTTCTGCATATATATGTTTTGAAGAGAATGATTTAAAAAGTTATTTACAGAAATTCGGATATCTTGCGGAGCTTATCGACTTTAAAGAATGAATATATACTGACTTCTTTTTAACTTAAATTTTCATAGCGTATAACTTTTTCTAACATTTTGTAGCTGAGTTTAGCTTTGCTTTTTTCAATCATCTGGTCACACTGGTTTATTGGGTAAGTAATTTTTTACAAGCTTTTTTAATTTATACTCAGCTCTAATTAAGTCATAAGCAATTAGGAGTGATAGTGAGCTTACTTTCCATAACTAAACCCTGAAAGAAAGTCCTAGACGTCGCCTTCGTCTCGGTAGTTGGGAAAGCTGACGGTCACAAACAGGAGGGAGGGTACTTAACAAGCATTTTTTCTATGATTGCAACTTATGCTTATTTATTTATTTTCAATATCATTTTGATTAAAAATATAAATATTTTGTTCTATAACGGGAATCACATTAATAAAAGTTTTATAGCTTGTACAAAGTCAACGAAAATTAATCAAACTTCAAAAAATTGCACACAAAATTCAAACTTTTCGTTAAGAATTTTTATAAAATTGAATGGGCTAAAAAACTGCATAGTCGAAAATTTTCTAAAAATCTTGAATAAAGAGTTTGAGATTTTAATGACATTTTTTTTTTTTTAGTTTTATTAATTTTTGTAAGCTTTGCGCATAGATCGAAGTATATTTTAAATGAAAGTATTAAAAATAAATAAATAAGTTGCAAACAATATCATTTTTAATTTTGCTCTCCTATCTTATTGACCGCATATCTATATATGGGTGTTTCCCTGTAAATGTAAACCGAAAATGTTAGTAAATGGGTTCAAACTACTAGGGTGTTCGATTATTTGTCATTTTTCCAAAACCGGTTCTGAGTTATTCGGAAAATTGCAATTTGAAAAAAACCGGTTCCCTATTTTTAAATAAAAAAAAACAGATAAACCGGTTTTATTTTACATAGTTTTCATACAGTGAAAACGCTTATTTCGGTATTAAGTCATGACCAAAAATTACAATTTAAAGATAGATTTTATTTAGAAAAAAGAATAGTGAAATGAATTAAAAATTTTTGTTTTAACTAAAAACTTTTTAGATCAAAAGTAAAACAAATAAAAATCAGATTTGGTCTTATTTTAACTTTTTTTTTTGTAATACGTAATTGCAATTTTCTGACTTTTTCCGGATTTGGGTAGTGCTCTTGCTCTGCTATTCGGCAGGTCCATGGTTCAGTTTCTGGTCGCAGCAACATCAAAAAAAGGCAATTATCCAAGTGTACTACTTCGGAGGTGGAGTAAAAGTGTAGATTTCTACATTTAAGGTATTCCCTGGAAAAAGCCTTGAATACTTCGAGATACTCGAAACTTTTATTGAGAGGTCTAGATTTGAATTTAATGAAAAAAAACTGGTTTGTTCGATAAAAAAACGCTTATAAGTATCGAAAAAATTGGTTGAAACCGGTTTGGAAAAACCAACTCAATCACCCAATAACAAACGGTTTTATAACTTGAAATCTCGTTTTCAGATGGCTAAAAAAGGTTATGAAAACGCGAAACGGTGGAGAGAAGAAAAATTCAATTATATACGTACATATGTATTATTAGTAAAAAATATTGTATGGGGGGAAAATCATGCACGTCCGATATGTCATGCCCGCTATCACATTTCAATTCAAAATAATATAATGGCAGGTTCTAGGCTCAGGAAGAGCCTCAGCATTTAAATGATTCATTAACCGACAATTCTCACGCCGCCGGGGCATTAGGTATAAATTTTTGAGCCTTTAACTAATGTTAACTGGATACTTAAGCAGGGACTACACGGTTTCTATATTTGGCAGTCATAGAAATGTGTTGTCTAGAAATTTGAATCGAGAATGAGTTCAGCTCAATAAAAACTTTCCTAACAACACCACTCTGTGACGGTTAAAATGGACAAATGTATCTATAAATCGTGTGATCCCTGCTTAAGTGATATCTGTGCGTGCAATTTCTTTTTGTAAGTGTAAAATGAACTAACAATTTTGAACACTGCACAAACAAAGGAAAACAAAAATTTACTGTGTATGTTGCTCCTAAATGAATATGAAGAAACTTAGTAGCTCGTTCGAAGTCAATTAGTGAAAACATTTCTTGGAAAATATAGGAAACTCGAGCGAAAGCAGTTTTCAAATTGGAATTTCGTTCAAAAAAAAAAACACATTGCAAAACATAAATTTCAAGTTTTTCAACAACTAATTCTGTACTATTGTTAGAATAAATGAAAAGGGAGCTACAGCGAAACATATTTTTAATAAGCCGTTATTTGTTTTGNATATCTTTCTGTACTATTGTTGGAATAAATAAAAAGGGAGCTACAGCGAAACATATTTTTAATAAGCCGTTATTTGTTTTGTGTAAAAGCTTGCGGTACCGAAAGTATTTATCCAAGTTTTTAAAAGCAGTAAGAGCAAACACAACGAAAGCCTTGATATTTTTCATCAGAAAAACGAAAGACCACAAAAACAACAAACAATTAATCTAAACAAAAAGAAAAAAAAAAACATTAAAGAGCCGTAGAAGAACAGGGAACAGGGAAAAAATACTTGAAAATTAATATTATCCTTGACAGCAGCCTGCAAAAACAAACGCAATAATTCCACCTTCGCGCTATTAAAGATAACCGAATTTTTTTAAACACCAAAGGGGGACACCTCACTCTCGAATCAAAATGGCCTTTTCAACACAAAAAGAATTCTTTCATGTGCCCTTCATGAACGAAACGGTCGACTATGAGTGCCGCAGAGCTTGCGTCAAATTGAAGACGTATCAATCGACCACCGACGATCGCTCGTGGGCCATGGATGAGTCGCTCCAATCGAGATTCCTGTCAGATTTGGTCACTTGCCAGACGCCGGTAAGCCAATACGAATACCCAACTCTGGAGTAATTTTAAACAAACATTTAATAAAAAATAATAAAATCCTTACTAGAAATAAAAACACCAGTTAAGGAATCTATGTGATAGCATAACATAAATGAAGTATTTTCCCTAATTTGAAACATTTTACTCGTTCCAGGTTGGCGGTTTCGGTATTGGCGACGATGACGAATATGAAAGCGATGAAGCAGGGCCTGCAGGAGGACAAAGACGAATAAATAGAAACAACGGGCGTGGAGGTGATGGTCGCGGCGATCGTGGAAAACATGCAGCTGATGGCAATCGCTATAGCGCTAGCGCTGGTATGGGTGGTGATGTGGGCAGTTCCGGTCCAAGTGGAAGTGGACGTGGAGGTGGATATGCTCCACAATATGGTTATCGCCAAGCCGCTTATATCGGAAGTGGAGGTGTTGGTCATGGTGGTGGCGCTTCTGGTGGTGGCGGCGGTGTAGCTGGCAAACAGGGTCAAGGTGGTCTCGTTACCGCTGATAGTGTACTTGCGTGCGCCAACGAACAAATGGGCCGTCTACAGGATCTGCTGTTGGACAAGCAGAAACTCGAAAAGCAATTAGAGGTGTCGAATGAACGCTTGAAAGTCGCCAATATGGAGAATGACAAAATCAAGGCGATCATGAATGATAGATTCGATAGCAATCATGCGAAGGATTTCTACAATAAAATACAGAAACTTGCAACAAGCGGCAAAATAAACAGAAGCGAAGAGAATGAACTACTCCACATCTACAATAAATTCGAAGATATGAATAAAGCGTATGAAGTTTTACAAGCCGAAAATGCCCATCTGAAGCGACTTATGGAGAAGCTGTCGTTGCGGGCCTCCTACGAAGCAATCAAAATGGAACCAGAAAAAAGCAATGATGTGCCGTTTCTACAGAATGAGGTAAACAAATTGCGCCAGGAGGTATCCATGCTAAGGAAGTACGAAGATGATAAGTTGAAGGGACGCACGGATAGTAATCGAAATAAGTCGCCTGATGTCGATCCCGACACACTCAAGGCAATTATAACGGAGCGCAATGCTTTGCGTGAGAAATGCAAAACGTTCAAAGATCTCGAGGCAAGGGTATATGAGCTGCAGAAGATAGCCAATGAAGCCGATAAAATGTCTGAGCATATTGTGAAAATGGAGCATGAGATGAAGAAGATGCAAGATTACTACGAAGATCAAATGGGCAAGCTGAAGTTCAACGAGGAGTTTTTGAAGGTGAGTTTTCTTTTCTTATTTTTTTTGTCGAAAAATTTGCGAGAATGTTTCAAACAAAAATGTATTATACAACGAAAACGAGGTAATAAGATAACAATAGCAGTCAAAGCTCAGTTGCTGAAACGATATTGCAGATAAAGGACTACCATCTGTAAGTTGCCAGTGACATTCTTACAAATCGACCCTTTAAGCGAACTAAAACCCGTATAATATACCAGGATCACGGCATCCGTTACCTCTCGAATAAAATTCGATTTGAAAATTATTTTTCTAAATTACAGCACTCGATAACCAGTCGCTTTTTCAATTCAAAATGTATTATTTCGATTTATAATTTATTTCATTCAATTCGATACGAGTTGATTGATCGTGGATGACGTCATTCGGGATCGGAGCTAACCAGCAGTCACCATATGGAACTCGACTAGTTTTTGCCTTCTAAAAGGTAGCAACTCCCTACCAGATGATTCAACGTTTTATAGGTTTTCACGTAAAAGAGTTTTAAGGGACCTTTAGCTCCTTATAGATTAATCTGTTGATCGTTAAAAAAAAAATCGTACAAAAATAATCGAATCGTTTCATCTAGACAAGTCGTTAATCGCGTTAATTGCTAAACCTTAAAGTATCACTGGTTCGCTTAATTTTCCCGACAAAAACTAGTTAGCCCTGCTATTCGAATAACTGATAATGTTAAGTTAGACGTGGCAAGGTTGGGTACTATCACCGCTGCTGTGGTTTTGCGTACTAAACAATATTCTTCTAAGTTTACACAGGGAAGGGGTCAAAGTTCTCGCGTATGCAGAGATGATGCGACATGACCTAGCCAGCGGAGCCGCTGAATTTTAATTCGCTGCACTATGTACATATATATCGTGGTAAAGCTCATCGATAAATCGTCTGCGGTATTCGCAATCGCCAACGCGTAAAGGTCCGCAAATCTTTCGCAGAATATTTTTCTCGAAAACTGTCAAGAGACGCTTCATCAGATTTTTTCGTTGTCCATGCTAGTGGCACAGGCATGATGAGTGACTTATAGGGTGTGATTTTTGTACGACGAGAGCGGACTTTACTTCTCAATTGCATAGTGATTCTCCGTTGGATTTCAAGGCTGACGTTATTATTGGTGTTAATGCTGCTGATTCCCAAATTAAACGAAGTCTTCTACCTATCAAATAACCAATACGTTTTTCTCTCTTCCCACCCACAGTGTCAGCTGGACGAAATGAAAGAAGACCTAATTCGTGCCAGATGTAGCGCACAAAAAGCGGAATGCTTACAAATGGAAATTAGCTGCTTGCGAAACGAGCTGATGCGACGTGATCGGTCGCTGAACGATTACGATTGCCAGTATAAACAATTGATGGTAAGTAAATTGTTCCGCTTTTTTCTTTTAACCCTCTAATGTACACGCTTGTCACTGGACAATTCTTTCTTAAAATCAAATAAATTTTAGCAGGACCAAAGCAATTTTTTGACAGTCAAGCACTATATATAATATAATTTTACGATAGCCAATCGAGAAGCTGTTTTCACCTTGTAACAGGTTTATTTTTTTTTTTGCTAGTTATGCAAAGCTCTGCCGATTGCAAGCACATCGAACTTAGTCCTTCATTTTTGCTTGTTAAAGCCTTTATTTTTGCAACAGGTGCCTAGACATCGTCGCGTCCAACACTATTTCACATTACTTCTTATCGTATCAAAGTTCTTGTCGCTCAGATTGTGTCAAAGATCGTAAGCATTCTTAATACTCTCCTATTATCTTACCTAGTGGCGCCCTCACCTTTGTTAGATAACGCGAAGCCAGTAAGAAATCAAAATAAAATAGAAAAATCAGAAACTGCTCTCTCAATTTCCAGCAGTTTTATCGTGATGCATTAGAGGGTTAAGACATATGTAGCTTAAGTATTTTAGCGAGCACTTTTTGTATGTATTTTCGTTTCTTTTCGATTTCATATGTATACATGCATAAATACATGTAGTACAAGGCCCAGAAATTTAGAAATAGTGGCTATTGTATGTGCTATCGAAACCCAGATGCTGGCCATGATAATGATAATTCTTTGTCGGATAGTTGACTGCAAGCCAATGCCTCCTCGCTAAATTCTATACATAAATATAATATGAATATTATGTTCAATAGCATTGTATTTTATGTTTACGTATTTTTTTCTACATATTTTTCAACGCCCATATCTACTACTGCATGCGAGGAACACCACTTTTATTACATCTAATTAGTTGTTTACTACAAATTAAACTGTATTTGCTTGCAATCTGTGTTTTTTTTTTGTTCAATACATATTTAAGAAATTGTGTGAAGTTAAATAAATCGGTTGTTGAAAAAAAAAAAATTTAAAATTTTGCAATGCAATTAATTCGAAAGTACGGGTATTTGCATAACAACGGCATTTAAAAAAAGAAAATATGCAGACAGTCAGAGGGATAGATTTAAGATAAAACAGGAACCGTAACGGTTATAACATATATATTGCGTTGTATAATTTTAAGACCGCCATATAGTAACAAGTTTTAACGTATTTATTTTTATAATATTTAATTTTAATTGTATGCTAATAAAAATGTTGTTCATCTATAACAAACACCATACCAATCCACTCTTCAGAATTTGTGCAAAAATTATAAAAAAAAAATTTTTTTTTTAATTTTTGGCATTTTTTTTCGATTGTTCTTGATGTTTTCCCTTGTAGACGAATTGCCAGCTGACTTTAGTACAACAACTTTTGATAAATAAATGTGCAAAAAATAGTTCCGATACTAGCAAGTCAATATTCTTATTAAGTTTCATTCAAAAATTCCTTGTCGTTTAAAGAATAAAAGGAATGCCGCATTATACTAAAGCCAGCCTTTCGAAATAAGCTACTTTTCCATACGAACACAGATGTAATAACTGAGAAGAAGCAAAAGAGCATATCGTTGTTGGTTGGTAAGCAAATAAATGTGATCACTGATAGTAGTTATAGGGAGTGCAGGCTTCTACGGTTTGTTTTTTAATTATAATTTTATAAAGAGGACATAAAACGTCGTGTTTTAATGTTACGTTTTCTTTTGCCTATATACCCAAAAATTATCTCGAATCAGTTTAAATTTTAATTTCCGAAAAATATTTTGAAATCGTATATTGGTCTAGGATATGTAAATATAAATATACGTACTTAAAATAACGTTCGAATATCTGCATTTTCAATATTCCCAACTTTAAAAATCTATATATTAATACGCTAACGAAATCCCATACAAATCTATTCCTCCCTACTGCTCCTATGTTTCTCAACCGATTTGAATGATTTTTCTTTTGTTCGAAAGGTATTATTTTCCGGTAGGCGCCCGATTTGGTTTCACCATCTATGAATTTTTAAATTATTTAACAGAATGTATATTACTCCACCAAACAGTATTAGGGGATTCACAAGACGTGTTAACCGTCGTAAAATCTTAAGCTTAACACTTGTTTATGTAAAATAGCGGTTAAAATGGTTGGGGGGCTGGCTAATTATATATTCTTTATCAGTTTAAAAGAATTTCGGTTTAGTTAGAAATCCCCTAAAACCATTTTAATTAAAAAAGATGTTAACCTTAAGATTTTACGACGGTTAACACGTCTTGTGAATCCCCTAATTGTGTAAGCGAGCTAGACGATTAACAGGTGCTGGTGGACCTAAAACACTTCCCTGGCATACAAAGCATGCACAGCGGTGACAACATATACACACATACATGGTACACGTTTTCACATGTAGTCACTTTTTTTTAATTCTAAAATATATGGTAACGAAGACGTAAGACGACATATAGATAGACATACATATGTATGTATCAAAAGCCTGCATGAATTCATTCAAAATGGCTTATAAATTATTTATATACAAAACAAATGAATGATTTCGGCTTTTTAAATTTGATTTTTTGCCGAATTTTCTAAAATGAAATAATATGAAATCTGAAGAAAATCGGTAAAGCAATGAAAACAATGGTGCTATGTGAAGAATTTCTTGTAGAATTTTTTCCGAATTTTCTTTATTTTTCATACAGAAATTTCTATACAGTTCGTGTCAACCCCTTCATATAATTTTCTTTGAAGATTCGTAAAAAAATCGTTACAGAAATGAGATACTCCTAACGATTTCCTTAAGATTTCGGGAACTTTGGTTTGCAGGGTTGCTAAGGGATCCGATTTTGTCAAGAGGGAGCGAGAGAACGGTTTTCTGAGCACACCTTTTATTATTGAATCATGGTATGTACTCAGTATGTACTTACATTTCTTTTTAAAACAATAAAATATACACATTAAAAGAAAATTAATAAAAAATAAAAAACGCTGCCCGGAGGCTTACCGGCGGATCTCTCGAATGGCGTGCCAGTGTTTTGCTAACTCGCTAACAAAATTATGTACAAGTGAAAAGAGCTTTTCACCATGAAAGTTAGAGCGTTTTTTTGTAAGACTATCGTGCCAGTGAAAATCATACCGATTACAGTGAAATATTCACTTCCTTAAAGTTCTTTCTTCTTTCTGTTCGAGTAGACTAAATACGCGAGTGAAGTATTCAGTGCTTTCTTACACAAATTCATTTTGTAAAATTAAAACTAATTAAAATTGGTGTGGTGTATGTATCTTTCATGGCTGGCTCTGGATCGGAAACGCAACTTGCCTGTCGTAGCTTCTTACTCATTAGATCAACATCTTTTCTACTCCCCCTACCATCCATTCAAAAAACCAGATATTCATAGCTTCAATCACGCTGGCCTTGATCGTATTTACAGCGGCAGTATGTAGACATGGGCTTGAAGAGCAACAGGAAAAGAGTTCGTTTTCGTAAGGTTTGGGCTTCGTGTGGGCAATTCGATCGAAGTTCATGGCCAGCAGACTCGACTACAGAAACGCAAATATTGACCACTAAATGCAAAAATAAAAGCATACTATGTAATAAAGTAAATGAATTAGAAAATCAGGAAAAGACAAATCAAAAATAAGTAAGGAAGAAATGCAACAAGATGATTGTTGCTGTACTGAAACATAAATTTGAATTTGCTACAAAAGAAAAAAAACAAGCAACAACATTACTCGGTAGAAAGTCTTAAGCGATTCGGTTGCACTCACAATTTCACTACAAATATGTATGTATTATGATTACAAAGTATTCATTTACTTTTTTCCTTCGCATCATTGATTTCGCACTTCACTTCGTCCAATGAACCGACGTAGAATGTCATCGACGAGTTGCAGGGCAACGCCATTCAAAATCTTCACGATACACAAACTCAAACTTGTGCCGATTATATGGAGGACTTGACATTCTTTGCGCGCGCCACCTTGAGCGAAATCAAGAAGGAGCTGAGGAAACGTGGCGGCGATGGCGACAAAATCGGTGGCGGCGGCATTTTCGATGGACACGCCATCACCGACGGCCTGAGTCCCGAAGAATGTTGTGCCGAAATGCGACGTCTACAAGATATCGTCAAGCAATTAACAAAACAAAACGAAATATTGCAAAGTAACGTAAAGAAAGCGGCCGAAGATTTATGCGCAGACGCTCTTAAAAAGTTAGAGGAAATGGAGGAGAAATATAAGAAAGCTCAAGACGATATTGCAAACTTGAAGAAGGATAAGGACGATCTTAATATGCGTGCGATAAATAAACTTCACGAGTTCTCTGATCGTGTCGATAAATTGGATTCGGATGTGGGTGAGACGGCAAAAGATACAGCTGGTATGGATAAGGATTTGAAGGAATCAATGAAACTAGTGAGGGAGATAAGTGATATACATCTGAAAAATGCGGAGCTGTCGAATGCAGTGCATGCGATTACCACGCGCGATGACGAGAAACTGATCGACGACCTACGGAGGCAATTGCTCGAAGAGCAAGCGAAGAACAATAAATGCCAGGAAGAGAATAAACACTTACAAGATGCTCTTGTCAAACGTGGCATTGATCCAGATTTGGTTAAGAAAGACCTCGTTAAGGGCACTGATGATGCGCAAAAAGAAGGTCCCGGTGTCGAAAGGGTCGGTCGTGGTGCCGATCAAGATACCCAGAGAAGGGGCCCTGGTGGCGGTCTAGTTGGGCAAAGAGAAGGTCCTGGTGTCAGTGAAGATGACAGAAGAGGGGGCTTTGGCGTTGGTCAAGATGACAGAAGGGGAGGCCCTGATGCCGGTAAAGATGACCGAAAAGTTGGATCTGGTGCCGGTAAAGATGGCCTAAGAGATGAACGAAGAGGAGGTCAAGATGAGAGAAGAGGAGAGGGCCCTGGGGCGGTCCAAGATGCACAAAGAGGCGGTCCTGATGCCGGCCACGATGACCAAAAAGGAGAACCAGGTGCAGGCCAAGATGACCGAAGAGGAAAAGGCCCTGGTGTCGGTCAAGATGCACAAAAAAGAGGACCTGGTGCCGGTAAAGATGCACAAAGAGGAGGCCCTGATGCCGGCCGCGATGACCAACAAGGAGGACCAGGTGCCGGTCAAGATGACCGAAGAGGAAAAGGCCCTGGTGTCGGTCAAGATGCACAAAGAGGAGGACCTGGTGCCGGTAAAGATGCACAAAGAGGAGGCCCTGATGCCGGCCGCGATGACCAACAAGGAGGACCAGGTGCCGGTCAAGATGACCGAAGAGGAAAAGGCCCTGGTGTCGGTCAAGATGCACAAAGAGGAGGACCTGGTGCCGGTAAAGATGCACAAAGAGGCGGCCCTGATTCGGGGCAATATGACCAAAACGCAGTACCAGGTGCCGGTCAAGATGACCGAAAAGGAAAAGGTCCTGGTGCCGGTCCAGATGCACAAAGAGGAGGACGTGGTGCCGGTCAAGATGACCAAAAAGGAGGACCAGGTGCCGGTCAAGATGACCAAAAAGGAGGACGTGGTGCCGGTCAAGATGACCAAAAAGGAGGACCAGGTGCCGGTCAAGATGACCAAAAAGGAGGACGTGGTGCCGGTCAAGATGACCAAAAAGGAGGACCAGGTGCCGGTCAAGATGACCGAAGAGGAAAAGGCCCTGGTGTCGGGCAAGATGCACAAAGAGGAGGACCTGGTGCCGTTAAAGATGCACAAAGAGGCGGCCCTGTTGCCAGTCAAGATGACCAAAGAAGCAGCCCTGGTGCCGGTCAAGATACACAAAGAGGCAGTCCTGATGCAGGTCTAGAAGAACAAAGCCGAGGCCGTACTGGGCCCGGTACCGGCCAAAAAGATCGACCCGGTGCGGGCAAATATGACGGTCCGGGTGCAGGTCAGAAAGGTGAGCCTGGTGCAGGCAAGGATGGTGGTCCAACTACTGGTCAGGGAGGGGAACCTGGTGATGGTAAAAGAACAGGGCCTATTGCTGGCATGGAAGGAAGCCCAGCTACAGTTCGTGAAGGCGGACCTAATGCTAGTAGAAAAGACGGGTCGGATGTAGGCATGGACGGTGGGCCAGATGCTAGTAGAAAAGGAGGACCCGGTACAGAAGAGGTCGGCGGATCTGATGACCTCAAAAGGGGTGAACTTTATACTTATTTAAAAGTTATAATATATTCAAATAAAATACATTCTTATTTTAGATGACGGTGCAGGCAGGGATGGCGTTCCAGGTGTAAGTGGACCAAGTACTGGTACTCCCGGCAGTCCCACTGCGGCTGCAGGTCCGTCCGGCGCTGACGGTGCTACAGCAGGTCCCACAGGGGATGGTTCTGCAGTCGGTGGCGGAATAACTGGCGGTGGTACCAGAGGTATTACAGATGCAACTGGCAACGTCCATGGTGTTGGTGGTGGTAGCCCGGGTAGACTACAAATGCGAAGTGGTGCCAGTCCTAGTGGTGGTGGGGGAAAAGGACGTAAAGGAAAAATTTCCGATGCTCCTGGCGACGATGCTTTCCAACAATTCATCGACGTTAATGCCACTACAATGATGTCAAATATAAAGGCTGGCAGTGCGCTGGAGAAGGAACTGCGCGGCATACTGAATGCTTTCATGATGGAGTGTGGATTCTGTTTCTGTAAAAGTCTTGTGCCGAAGAGCAAATTTTATGCCCTCTGTCACAAGCTATTGCACAGCGGCATACAATGTATGTCTTTTCGCGAGTTGGCATATATGCATCGAAAAGTATTCATGGCCGCTGACAAGTTGCATCCAGGCTGTCTACTAAATATGATACTCACCGAGCAAGGTTTCAAGGATGGCGAGCGTCTCAAGTGTTGCCATTGCAAAAACGCGCTCTGCTGCAGCAATTCAGCGGAAATGCTCAAAGAAAAAGGTAAGTGTGAAACGGTTAATTGGAGTACTTCATCAGCCTTATCATGAGTTTCATTTTCCCCGAACCGATTCACTTTTCAACTTTTGGTTTTCATGGTTTTACTATGGGTGGATGACAAATTTTCGGGTGAATTTTTTCAGGTGAAACTCAGGAGAAGACAGAATATCTTAATTTTATATATGTTTGTATACGTATGTATGTATATGTATTTTTTTCTAAGTGTACAAGTTGGAGCGGGACATTGAGATGGCCAAGGAACATCTGGACAGCTTGAGGGTGCAGTCACGATCGCCTAAGAGTCCATGTACAACACGCGGAAAGACATACCGGCAAATGGAAGACAGCTATTCAGAAGCTGTTGAAGAGTAAGAGCACAATCAATTGAGCATTTGCTGGAACTTGGAACAACCCACCCGCCTCATAATATTTTATTTTGTTTTTTTTGCAGACTTCTAACATGCCGGGAAACCAAACTTGCATTGTCCAAAACAACTAGCAAACACATGAAAACTTTGAAGGTAGCACACATTGGCATGCAATCTCTTTTTATACACTCAATTTAATGGTATTCTTCTTTCAGGCTCGCATCATGAAATGTTCCGACCTGATGCGTTGACGAATGTCGTCAAGCAATTTCTCCTGTACCTTTTTTCTGTGCGTTAGTGCCGTTATTTGTGTGTGTTTGTTTGTGAAAGACAGATTCATTGAAAATCCCAACGACCTTGTTACGCTGTATACATATTTACAGTATCTATTTTTAAGTTTTTTTTTTTTAATATGTTCATCGTACCAATAATGGTTTAGTTTATATAATATTTTCTCTTTTTTCGTGGTGTGTTACGCAGAAATTAGTGCAAATGATTGTATGCAAGCAGTAGTGTGTATGCGTTGTTTTTTTTTTATTCACTTTGCTTATGGAAACTCGTCAATTCCCTAAATACGTGTGAACAAAAGCACTCTCTTTGGGGAATATACAAGTTCTCATTGTCAAAGTTTGCAAAAAAAAAAAAAACATAGACGATGCATAAACCACACGATTTACGTGCTAATAACACTTCCACGGGTAACTTTTTGATGGCATTCTAGAAATGATAATTAAAAAAAAAAAACGCAAGAAAGCTAAATATAAATACTTTTTCAAACTAGTCAGGGGATATATTTTGAAAACCTAATACTGTATGTATGTATTTGTCACAGTCAAAACTTTGAAGTAGTGAAGGATTTTGTTTACTTGGGATGCAGCATAAACACCACCAATAATGTCAGTCTGGAGATAAAGCGAAGAATAACTCTTGCCAACAGGCGCTGCTTTGGGCTCGGTGTCCGATTGAAAAGCAGAGCCCACTCTCGACGAACGAAAAACGAAAATCACGCCCTACAAATCTCTCGTCATATCCGTACTTTTATAAGGCGTTTAAACATGCGACGTTTGCGTTTGCGTATTCTACGCAAAATCTATGGTCCCGGTCGCGTGGGAAACGAATACCGATGAAGATGGAATGAGGAAGTGTACGAGCTTTTTATAACGTTACAACATGGTTAAGTGCATAAAAATACAACGATTGCGCTGGATGGATGACTACGCTCCTGTGGAAAGATCCTACGCACCCATGGATGGAAAACGAAAGCAAGGGCGCCCAAGAACACAATGGAAGGACCAAGTGTAGAAGAGCCTGTCCGGCGAAGTTGTTTGTGGTCTCGGGCCCAAACCGACAAATTCATGCAAATTTTAAACTTTTTTTAGCCCAATCAGTTTTATTGTAATAAAGTAGAAGTTCTAAGTAGCTACGAATTACCGTTAATTTTTTTGCAATTTTTTTCACGCGGTCTTCCATACAAAAAAAAAATCGAAAATACTTGCATATGTATATGAAAAAAATTAAAACAAAAAAAAATCTCAATAATCAATACTAACTCCGAACTTGCATTTTTGATACTAGAATTTAATGGGCTACAAAACTGTATACTCGCTCCACTATATCTGCGTTCACCCTTGTTTTTATTTTACCTTCCTTTTATTATATTAATTAGCTCGGGATGTAACTATGTAATTTTGATGCGCCTAAAAGATGCAGCGATTTCTATTTTCAAGTTACATACCTGATGACAGTACGAATGGCAATTATAATGGGAGGTTTTAGTTTTTTAAACATAATTTTATTTTAAATATGCACAATGTTTTTGCAAGCAATAATTTTTTTGTTATTTTTATACAAAAATTATTTTTGTACAAAAATATGGTTCATGATACAAACAAAGTTTCAAACTGTACAAAATTAAGGAAAATTTGAAGATCATGAAAATTTTAACCTTTTTACTCGAAATTTTGTGAAGAAAATTTCTGGTATACAATTTTATAGCCCATTCAATTTTAGTATGAACAGTTTGAAACTTTATTTATGTGGTTTTGTTTGTAGCATGAATCATATTTTTGTACAAAAATAACAACGAATCATAGCTTGCAAAACATTGTGAAAGTTAAAAAAAAAACAGCATGAACGAAGATTTAGTGGAGCAAGCGTACATACTGACACATCTCTCTCAGCTCTCTCCACCGGCAAATCTGCTATTCAATCATTTCATTTCATCATTGACAAACCGCTTGTGTGGTGTATTTAGCTCTAAAGGTGAAATTTGTCAAGAACACAGAACTTATAGTTAAACGCAGTCTGTATACGCAGAATTTTGTCGATTACTGGAGCACTCGGTGTTGCCACTCGTCAATGCCTTTTCATAAACCTACCTTTTCAACTACAATTTTTCATGCTATAATAGATGCTAGCTAAATATAAACCATGATAAAAACATAGCTGTATTTATTTTTTTACTATATTTTTATCATGATATAAACTACTTATTTTCAAACAAAAAACCTTATTCGATGGTAAATTTCAAATATTTTAAACGTATTTTGAAAAGGAACTTATAACCATCTGCGAAACTGACGAAGTGGCAACCATCTATTAAACGAAGAAATTAGGTGACACGGAAAAATCTAAATTCCGCAGATTTCTGCGCTACGGGCTACAACTAGGGCTTGTTCGAGTTGTGCGAATTATTAAAGTATCGCGGTCTGTGTGAATTTCTAGCAATGTATGCAACAATGGTGCCATTTTTCATTAGTACGGCAGTAATGCCGCTTTTATTACGTGCTTCGAACAGGCCCCTTACAGAAATATTCTGCGGTGTTGAGTTCACTTGCATGGCGCTCTGGTTAGACAGATCGTGTCAGCTGACTCGGCTTTACGTACCGGTAGGTTTATGTTCTTGACTAATTTCACCTTTAACCGCTTCCGGCAGTGATGCATTTGGGCCCGAACCGTTAAGGATTGAATCACGAAATGGAATGTCAGAAAAGTTAAAAAAGCTTTTTGGTTTCGTTTTAATTAATTGGAAATGGAATTTTAAGTTTAATTGGGATGGGATATTATATGGGATCAAATGCACTACCGGAAATACAGAGTGAGAGCCCGTGTTTATCACCCTGTACTTCGGGTATTCCATTCCAATTATTTCCGGTAGTGCATTCCAGAAAATTTCCAGCAAGTTTGACATTCCATTTTGAACTGACATCCTAAACGGTTTGGACCAACTGAGCAAATTAATTAATTCGTGGGTGTAGTTTATAGTTTACTTGGCATTTGGAAAAGGCGAAAGAATTGTGCTCTACGTTGCTGATATCTGTGCCGTGTAAACATTCAAGTAGCAAAAAAGTGTATTAGCTATTAGCCAAGAATTTGTTGCGTTTGCGAACATTGGCGGTTGCGGCGGCAGCGGACGTATGTAGAAATTTGTTTATAATAAAAGTTTTTGAGGAATTTCAATTTGCATTGAATGTTGGCATTGTGGTGTGTGCGCGGAAAAAAAATCAGATTGGCCGTCGGTGTATCAAGATACAAAACAATTCTAAAGGGTGTGGTTGTTGTGCAGTGGTCGATTATCCAAGAGTTGGAATACATATAATTGATTAACAAATTCATAAATTTTCATATCTACATATGCGCTGTGGTTTTTGATGAAGCAGCATACGCAGGCATTCCAGGCAGCGGTGAATGGCCAACGAAAACGTATTTAAGATACTGTGAATTAATTTATGCGAAACGCGAGCGAAATTAATTGAAAAATGTATGCAAATTTGGCGATGTACGGGTTTGGTGGCGGTGATGGTAGCACGTCCGATTTTGTTTGGTATTTCAGGCATTGACATTGCCGATTGGGAAAGGGGATAACTCCGCGGTAGTGAAACGCTGCGACGACCGTGCTGCTCGATAAATAAGGAAGAAGCTCAGAATAATACAAAAGATTATTTCTTTATCATAAACAAAAAGAAATGCTGTCAACGTTCCAGCGCCTGCTATGTAGTGCATGTGTAAAAACAAAAACAAAGAAGCCAGTGCAAAAGTTGCATTGACGTTGAAAGCAGCGACGCCGACTTTAGTGGTGACAGCGTACTGTTGACTCCGACTGCATTTTATTACGAACAGGTGCATACAAAGAGCAAGACGGTCGCTTTGTTGGATGGCCGGCGTAACGAGCTAAAGCAAACAGACGTTGCAGAGACAACACCAACCACAAAGTTGACGAAATGTCCCGGCTTGCTGATTATTTTGTTATTGTCGGCTATGATAACGATAAAGAACGTGAGTAATTTGTCACATACATTTTTGCATAATTTTTTGTTATACATACAGTGGTGGCATCATAATTAGAGGCACAAGTTCTTACATATGTATATCTTTTCTTTATTTTTAACCGACTAAATACATAGGAATATTTATTTTTATGTATGTTACCGAATAACTTTGGCCCACGGCCGTGATTATTCTATTTTTTCGAAAAGATTGTACGTCAAGGGTGATGGAAGATTGTACGTCACGGGTAAAATGCTCAAAAATTGGAGCTACTTCAATTTTGCACAATATTATGATTAAAAAAATTAATGGACTACATATAATACAGCATACACGATTTTTTTATAAAAATTTTTATTAAAAAGTATGAATTTTTTATTCGTTATATAGTTTTATGGCCTTATTCATAAAAAATAAAGTAGGGTTAAAGAGCTTTATAAATTGACGTTTTCATACATTTTTCAATTTATAAACCTTTTGTAAAGCTACTTTATTTTTTATGAATAATGCCATTAGTTTGTAAAAAATATATTTAATTAAAGAAAAGTCGTGTTCATAATTATGTGGTCACCACTGTACATACATACATACATATGTATGTACCGTGTAGAACAAGAAATGGTTGGCAGCTTTAAAAGATCTTAATTATTTTGTATTTTTTGTAAAATAGGATTGTTTAACAAAATTCATTTAAGGTGTTTATGACAAAACAGCTGATTTTTTTTTTGTATACTCTTGGCATGTATTTTGTTTTTGCTGTTGGTGCTAGCGCCTTGCATAAATTCGCCTTGATAAAAATATTGCTTAGCTTTTTGGCTCAGTGGCATGGTTCATACTGAAATTTGAGGTCGTCCATATGGGAAAATGATCTTCATATGAATATATCAGAATATCCTATTAGCACTGAAATGGACAATTTTGGATTGTTCGAAAAGATTACTTTTCTCCAAGACTTTGGTCTATATTTTATGCAGTTTACTCATTGGAGAAAATTCAGCTGCGTTTAATTGACAAAACTGACTTCTTGGTGACATAATGGCCCGCTGTGCAATGAATATTGCACTCCTTATATAATCTGCTGGATCAACCCGCCAACAACGGTCGCATCCGCTTACCCGCAACGACCCACATCTACTTACAGTCAGTCAATAAAGGTTAGGTATAGTGAATTTTTTTAAAATACGGGCAACTATTTTTAAAATAATTAATATTTCGCTAATTTTTTATAAAATTATGGTTAATTCTACAACAAAAACCCTTAAAATCAGAGTTCCAAACCTTGTGTAATATTAAAGAAAATTCCACAAAATTTCTTTCAAATATTGCACTTTTTATTTACGCTTTTTTTGTCCGCTACTGTACATATCGCACACCGTCTTCAAAAGAGTCACAACTCAAAATAATATGTTTGTCAGAAAATCGGAAAAACTATTTCTTAGCACATAATTATCATATGGGCAAAAGCGGCTTTACCGTAGGTTTTTTTTTAACAAATTGTAACAAAAATTTAATCCAGCTTTTGCTGAAAGATAAATAAAACCTGTGCGTACATTTTTAGCGTATAATCTCAAAAATGCCAAATTTTGAGTTGTGACTCTTTTGAAGACGGTTTGCGATATGTAGATACATCAGAATCGTTTACTTTCGTATGCAACAATTTGGTTGCTATTTTAAAATCTTTGTTTTTTTTTGTATCAATGTAGTGAACAATTAGATAAATGAATTTTGTTAATTTAGTTAATTGGTAATGCTATGCAAGTCAATTTTCTGCGATATTCTAATTTGATTGTTTAAAAATTCTAGGAACTGCTGCTGGTAGCAGCCAAATGTCATGCGGCAAGATCGTGCAGCGTTTCCCGGAAAAGGACTGGCCGGATACGCCATTTATTGAAGGCATAGAATGGGTATGAAATATTTGCCAAGTGCACAAGGGCGCATACAAACATACATATGTACATCCATAAGAATTTTCCTATGAGTAACTAAAGAACTATTTTTACATGGAAGCATGTACATATGTATGTGTGTATTTGTATAAGCTGATTTTAATATCGGCCATACAATATGCTATTGTTTCAACATTTTTTTTTTATTCATAAGTATGCTATGTATGCACTTATTCTTTGGCGGCAATGCTAGTAATTTACAAAATAATCATTTACATATTAAAGTATATTCATGTGCATGTATGTTTTATGTAAACGATTATCTTTTTTTAACCGAACTTTGTTCTTTTCTCTATTCCCTTGTGTGACCATATGTACTTCATAAATGTGACTCAATTGCACTGCAATAGTTTTGTCAACCACTTGGTTGGGGTTTATCGTACGATAAGCAAGAACCGAAATTTTTCACTTCCGTACTCACTGATATCGATGCCAACAAGCACTATTGCGCCTGCCTTAGCTTCCACGAAACATTGGCCATCACACTTAATAAAGTCATCGATGAGGAGGATGAAGCGGCGGCAACTGTCGGCGGCATTGCTGGCTCGAAATTTCAGCCACCCATTGCGGGTAGCAGCAGTGGTGGTGGAAGTGGCAGCAATAGCATTATTTCACATCACAGCGTCATGTATGCGCCGAAATGTCTTGTGCTAATATCACGGCTCGATTATGCAGAGACTTTCAAGGTATGTATGTAGAGAATGCTCTTTAATGGCAAGTTAATGTAAACACACGCATCTAATTTTAAAATTTCGTTTTGTTTACAGAACTGTCTCGGCACTATTTACACCGCATACATTGAGAATCTGCCTTACGCGCTGGAGAATCTTATTGGCAACATACTTGGCTGTATACAGGTGCCACCTGCTGGCGGTCCACAAGTACGTTTTTCCATAGGCGCTGGCGATAAGCAATCGCTTCAGCCACCACAATCACCATCGCTGCCAGTAACGGGCACAGCTGTTTACTTTGCTTTTAAGCAGTTAGGTAAGCATTGTATGCACAACTACGTGTACAAACTTATTTAGATGAAAGCACACTTGTTGTAGTATATTTAAAAATACCTTTCAATACTAATTACATATTTTTACTATTATCAATTTTACATAATTCATTGCGCTACACTTGAATATTCGATATACAAACCACCACCAAACCACAACATGCCGCTCATATGTTTTGTTTGGCGTATTCAATTGCCTTCATACGCCTGTTGATTTGTTCTACAAACTATCGCCGCTAGGTATTAAGAATGTACTTATACTGCTGTGCGCCGTAATGACGGAAAATAAAATTCTATTTCATTCGAAAAGCTACTCACATTTGACTGAAAGCTGTAAAGCACTGGTATCGCTAATGTATCCATTCAGGTAAAAACCTCATTTGAAAAGCAAATAGGTTATTCACAAGGTGTCGTAAGGTCGTATTTTCTTATGTCGTAAAGTTTAACGGTTTAATACGTGTTAGCAGTGAGTAAATTTTTAATATCACTTTTATGAAACTTTTCGGATGCTAAAATACGCTTTTATACGTAAAAAAGTGTACGTCATGAGACAATACGAAATTGACGACACCCTTGTGAATGCCCCAATTGTACATACATACTTTCGTACGCTTTGCATTAAAGTAGTAGGCCTCATATATAAACATTCGTACTTGCTATTACGAACATTTAAATTTATTTTAAATCTATATACATAATTATCTTTTCACAGATATACGCACGTGTACATTCCGATACTACCAGCACCGCTAACCGAAGTGCTATCCACTCCCACCCCCTTCATAATGGGCATACACAGTTCACTGGTGAGCGAAATCACCGATCTGCTGGATGTTATCGTCGTTGACTTAGATGGTGGTATGGTAACGATACCGGAATCACTCTCACCACCAGTACCCATACTGCCATCACCACTTTGGGAGCAGACACAGGACTTGCTGACAATGATATTATTTCCCAATCTATCACAGGCCGATTTAGCCTTCCCCTCGCTCGAAAAGCCAACGAACTACCCAAAATCGGATGCTGTAATTGATAAGGAATTGCGTGCGATTTTCATGCGACTGTTTGCGCAATTGTTGCAGGGGTAAAGTGGCTTACACATACATATTTCAAATATATTTTTTGTATAACATTTATTTTATATATTCTTACAGCTATCGCTCATGTCTGACCATAATACGCATACATCCAAAACCGGTGATTACATTTCATAAGGCCGGCTTTCTTGGTGCTCGTGACTTAATTGAAAGTGAATTCCTGTTTCGCGTTTTAGACAGCATGTTCTTCACTACATTCGTAAATGAGCGTGGCCCACCGTGGCGTTCTGCAGACGCTTGGGATGAATTGTACAGTTCGATGAATGAGATTTTGAAGAGTGAGGCGCAAAATAAGAGTTTGGTAAGCTGGAGATGTTCACTATTTACAGCTTTGTAATTAATCCCTCAATTCGATTCAGATTTCAATACACATACAGGAGTTGGGTAAAACGCTCTACGAAAACGAATTTCCCAGCCAACAAGTTTACGCACAAAAAGTGCTCCGCCCACCAGACGGTTCCTTCCACCGCATACATCAGCCTGCATTTCCACGCATTAACAGCGAAAAAGTAGAGCTAATCATAAACGATGGCATGCGTAAGAATTGCATTTCGCATCGCCTGACGGTGTTGCGTAATCAAATGCGCATCATACCCATGGGTCCACGCTTGCCCGAAGTGTTGGAAGTGCGTCCGGCAGTATTAAATTCAGCGCGACGACTTGAGGTATACATTTCCGTACAAAGTAAAGTTTACATTCTATTAAAAAAAAATATTTTCCTCTCATTTCAAAAGGTACTTAAAACTTGTGTTGCTTACATTTTTGAAAATAAAATTGCCGACGCGCGAAAGCTCGTACCGGCTGTGATGCGCACACTCAAGCATCGTGATGCACGCCTCATACTTTGTCGTGAACTATTCGGCTATGTGCATGGTAATAAGGCAATACTCGATCATCAGCAATTCGATTTAGTTATAAAGTAAGGGTATTTTTAGTTTTCTTTTTTGAATCATCAAATCATTCAATATATACATATTTTTAATTTACAGATTTATGAACAAAACCGTGCAAAATTCCACCGGCGTCGATGAGTACACTGTTGCAGCGGCACTCTTGCCAATGTCGACCATCTTTTGCCGCAAACTCTCCACTGGCATTGTACAATTCGCCTACACTTGTATTCAAGATCATCCGATTTGGAAGAATTTGCAATTTTGGGAATCTACTTTCTATCAGGATGTACAAACACAAATTAAAGCTTTGTACATGCAACGTCGACGTCAAAATGAACACAAAAAAGAATCGAATATCGTGCTGGACGATGTGCCATTGGAAGAGCCGACTGCGTTGGAAATAACTGCCGAGCAAATGCGTAAAAGTCCAGCGATCGAAGAAGACAAAAAGTCGGTAAGAGTCATGAAATAAATTTATAAGTGGACTTTAATGTAGAGAGTAGTAAATTTTTAATGGTATGACATAGCCATCTCACCGCTATGTACATATACATACATATAACATATCCAATTTAGTGAACTAATTCGGTGTGGTTTTTGTTTATTGTGGTGTTTTCAGGAATTGGGGCAGTCTGAGGAATCCACGCTCTATAGCCAGGCTATACACTATGCCAACCGCATGGTTTCATTGCTAATACCACCGGATGTCAATGCCGTGGGGCCGAGGCCGAAGCAGTCCTTTCGCTTGGACGATAATCAAAGCGTATCAAATAGGTGAGTTTTGTTTGATAATCAATAATGTTAAAATTACTTGTCGGACAAACAATTGGCGAAAGTCAATTTAGTTTTTACTGTTAGTTTTGGATATAGTTGTTGAACACTTCAATTTCAAACCTAGTAATAAATATAAGTAACTGTTAAATTACAAAAAAAAAAAGGTTTCTAACTGCGGTCTAGGGCTCGATTTCTGCTGCATCCAGCAACATCGGCGTTTTTTTCGAATAGCGGTCCCCCCTCGGCAAGCAGTGACATGTAAAAGCTTCTCTTGTAAACCATCTGCGATTAGGAGGCGTAAGACTGTAGGTCGGCTAAATATGTATGTATGTAGAAAAATATGGAAGCCCCAAATATTTTTTTACCTGGTCAGTGTAACACAGCCAGCAAAGTAAACCCGGTTTGACAGGAAAAAATCCAAATTATATTCAGCCTCATTGCGTAAGTCGTAAATTAGGCTAAATTGTACGACTCGACAACAGTAGCATTGTCTATTGTCGTACTGAAATAAGTAAACGACCAAAATCGTCGAAAACTATACAGTGCTGCCAAGTTTTTCCGTTTTAATACACTAGTCGAGTGGAAATTTTAGGCAATGACGTGAAATTTTCGATACGATTCGACTCTCGAAAAACGTCTTGCATTTGATACGACTCTCGCAATGAGGGTGATTATTTTCATTGTTTTGTTATTTATTTTGCTACATTTGTCAAAAATTTTGCCACCACTTTTAATGACACTACAAAATGTGAACTTTTTTTTTACTAAATTAACGATACTGTTTTTTCAATATCTCGGAAACTGAAATGGATAACATCATTTGAAAGATCTTGATTAGTTTAGTGTGACTAATATTCTTAACTCAATTTGTACTAAATTACCTATACAATTTTAGTCAATATAAAGAAGATATCCAAAAACTGATAACACCAATCGAAAGGTCTTATTTTAATATATATATGTATGTAGGTAATTACATCTATAACTAAAAATCTTAAAATGGCGCATAAGACAATAAGACTACTCCACTTAAAGAAAATTAAAAGGGTCATTCCATGCGAAAGATGAAGACTACAAATTTAAGTAGTGCTAAATAAGTACATTTCATTAATCTGATAGAAAGATGCTTTATTTCTTGTCTACGGAAAATTTTACTTCATAAATAAAAGGAATTTTTCGTCTCCAAAAACGGTTCAGACAAAATATGTGTTATAATCTTGAAAATTTGGTAAAAAATTTTACATTGAACTGATGAGTGGAGTTTTTTTTAAATCCCATATGGCGGGAAAGTTTATAAAAATTTTTGAAATCCCACGAAAGTTGATATCCGGGTGTTTTAGTGGCACTAATTGCGAATATGATCATAAATTAAAATTCAAAATGGCGGATCCAATATAGCGGATATATTTTTAATAATTCATTCATCCTCTTTCCAAAATTGGTTCCGTTAAAAAAATCCAGGTTTCTTTTAAATAGTGAGTGGCGATTTTTGAAATCCAATTAGGCGGAAACGTTTTTTTAGGGTCATTCCAGCGAAGACGACACCACAGGTAAAAAAGAAATACATAGATTGCATCTAAATCTGTGACAACAGTTAAGCAGGTAGAATAATTGCTTAGAAATCGAATTTCATCGATTTATTTTTTCTCTTTTTATTGTTATAAATGTAACCGTAGTGCGATTTTTTCATCGAGTTGTCAAGACATTTCAAACACAAGGTACAATTCATGGACGTTAAAATAGTGATAAGTATGGTGAGAAGTTGGCAGCTTATATTACTCAGGAACTGTGTCTGCAACCCTAAAAGTGTTTTTGTCTTTAATTTTTAAATAAGTAATGCCATTAAAGCATAAAATGGACCTTAGCTTTCTATTAACTACACTCCTGAAAACTGTAAATTATATATGTTATTAAGTTTTATACTTTGCAAGTTCTTATATCTGTCTTTAAGTGTTAACAGTTAACAGGAATTATTTAAAATTTTAGCAAAAAAGGATTTAAAATTTAAATGACATTCTGTAATCAAAAATTCCACCAGTCACAATGGAATGGCCCAGAAGTGGGAAAGAAAAGTTAAGCTTGATAATAAAGATAATTATTTCAAAATTTAAATTTTGTCGGGAAACGCAATCAATGTTTGATTCATATACATATGTAGCTCATATCAAAAAGAACAACTGATGGAAAGACAGATATAATCTTCGCCATTCTTGGGAAATTTAGTAATCTATTATACCGAACATATTCTCCTTATATGGTATACTAATTGTATGATAAAATCTCCAAAAAACGTAAATATATAGTATTCAGCGTGCGATTTGTAGATCTGAAACTGCCATGAAACTATGGCTTGGTTCTAAACACAGCTGTATTTATGTTTTTTTTTTTCAATTTAGGTATTACTTTTTTATATCACGAAGCTAACAAAATTTTTTAACATTAGTTTTTTCATTTACTTGTAGAACGAATACTTTTCTTAAATTAAGGTACGATTATTTTACTAGCATTTTTAAGCACGACAAAGCCTGTTTGATTCTAATCTTATCACTAGCGTTTTTACATAGTTTTAATTTTGTATGATATGTAGAAAAATCTTTAAAACACTTACATATTTTTTTTTTGTTGGCGGCAGTTTTGGCATTCAATTTGCGCTTCTTAGATTTATGGTAAATAATTTTCCTTTTACATTTTTTTTTTTACAATAATTTAAGTTTTTATATAAAATTTCTGATATTTGTTGTTCAAGTTACTATTTCCTGGAATTTATTTATGCTGTTTTTAAGTTAAAATACACATACCGCTCATTTACACTTTTCATTTTTTAACTTTTACACTACTTTATTATGGAATTTTCAGCGTTTCAGGCCATCTGATTCGGCTTCTCTCAGAAAATAGAAATTCAGCAATAGGTACAGTTCAAATTTAGCTTTGCACAAGACTGTGATTTGACTTCCCTTGCTTAGGAAAGTGCGTTTCCTCGTTTTCCTTCGAATGTTAGGTCTATCGGAACTTCTTCTAAATCAGCTCAATTTATAAATTTATAAAGAACAAAAACTCCAATTTTTATAATGATTGTTTCAAAAATTAAATCGTTTTTTTTTTTGTTACCAAAAATCCGAATTCTTAGTACCGGTTACCAATTTCGTAAAAAACGAAATGGAGCCGAGCCGTCCATTTTTTAAATATATAAAAAAAAACGAATTTAACAAATTATTAAAAAAAATCTAAAAAATTATAAAATTAAAAAACTATAAAAAAATATAATAATAATTAGCATTATCATGAGTTTTCATACAGTGTGAACTCACCCCCTATCGTATACCGTATTCAGCGGTGAAATAACTGTCACTCGCACAGGTAACTGTCACCCGCACAGGTAACTGTCACCCGCACAGGTAACTGTCACTCGTTCAGGTAAACCGCAAAAATAAAAATTGTTTGTTCCTGAATTTTTATTTAATGGCTTTGAACTAATTTCGGGTGAACAAAATTTTGTTCCGGTGAAAATTTTCACCAGAATATTCATATTAGGGCTGATTGTTTTTCTTTCATATTAAATATCGAATCATTTAAAATTGGTTATTCACAAAGAAAGTTACAAATATTTTTTTCCAAATTGGCATCCCGTACTAAGGCTTCGGATTTTTCTAAATTAGTAACCGGTTAAAAAAAAACATTTATTTTTCGAAATCACCGTGAAGTAATCCTTGTAGGAGTTAAGTTTCAATTTGTTAAAAACTGGTTATTCGCAAGGAAAGCATCAAATATTTCGTAACTGATACAAAAAAAAAAAACAAACCGATTGAGTTTTCAAAATAATTTTCTAAATTTGTGCAAGTATCTTGTCAAAAATGAGAAGGTGGATGTTAAAAAAACGGGTTCTTTGTACAAGCCCAAAAGTATCAAACCGGTACATGATTGCTACGGAGGCGAATCGTACTCTAAAGATGTGGTTAAGTTATAGGAAGTTTACATGGTTCAACTTTCCCAAGCGATTAGTTGAATCAAAAGTTGAACGTAAGTAGGCAGCTGGGCAACTTCATTGAAAGTGATTAGTTTACCACCAGGCGATTGTTGGTCTCGACTAAAAGTTGCCTGAAAATGAGTTAATAGAAGCCTAGCTGTTACGAGTAACTAATAATAGCCTTCCCCTGAAAAACTCGAATGGATGCTTCTGACTTCTTTCCATTCGTTTATATCAGGATTCTTATGGAAAAAGTACTATCAAAAACTTCTGAGAGTTGCCTCTAGGTACTAAGGTATTTACTTACGAACTCGTCGAATAATTTTCAAAAATACACCTGCAGTGAAAGGCTAAACCTAAAGATGTAAATCTTAGATACGATTTCGTGATTGCGCTGTATCGACCCTTGTTTGTATTAAGAATACGCGGAGCAGCTTCTTTAAAGTCTTGAAAAAAAAATACGAATTGAGGCTTGTGGACTTCGGTTGCACTTCGGTTCTGCTTTAGATAAAATTACCAATTTCGCCTTAGTACACTCGTACATGATGTGATTCAGGACTAAGAACAGATAAGCGGCTAAAATTCCAACTAGTTCCGGGCATTTGTAGGTAGGCTATTCCGCTCAGATAGGGGAAAGTACTATTATCAGATGATAATCTGGTAGTGTGTTGAGAGCATCCTGGAGCTTCTTTGAACAGATTTTGCCAATATACGCGTTTGGATTTCTTAATGGAAGTTCGTCTTCTAGTACGCAGTATATGCCTACTCTTCTACTATTATACTACTGAAATCTTATTTTATACTACGAGATACAGCTTACCGAGAGAATCATATTTTGTAATCAAACACTTCATAATTCATTTTTCATTCATATTCATTGTTCTGCCGCGATCACCTTATGAATGAAGTCGCCTTGATCTGATCTAATGCTGGCTTTCCCTTTTGCATTAAATGACGAAGTTTTCAATGACAAACTTGAGCAAAAGAAAAAAAAAAAACAATTTCATTAAGCTAACAGAACAGACATTACCCCTTACAGGACCGTAAGCTTACAATTAAAAATATAAATGACGAAATGAGAACCTCCTCCTGTTTTGTAGTCGGTAAAAAAGTTTATATGTCAATGTTATTGTGGCTTATTAAAATTTTATTTTTATAAATAAAATAATATAAATAATAATAAACAATCGTAGAACAAAGCTCAATAAAAATATTAAAAAGAAAAAAAAAATTATAATTCACTTTCCTCAAAATGTTTTCCCACATTTTTTTCGCCACTAAAAAAATTATTTGCTCTTAGTAAAAATAGTTTATTTTAAAAAGTGCTCATTGCATTAAAAATTATTTTTTTATATAGACGGGATAATGACTCAGAAAATTCTATTCCGAAAACTACTCACTGCCTAAAAAATTTTCAAAAAAATTATCTGACGAATTTTTTTCTTAGTTTATGTTTCTCTAAAATTTTTTTTAAGCTGTTTTTTTCATATTTTAGTGCATTTTGTAATAAAAGTTTGCAATCAATTTCACCTACCCAAATTAGCTTTCACTACGGAATACGTTTTGTACTAAACTCTTTCAAAAAATAATTTTTACCTAAAGATTTTTTTCGCGAACTAATTTCTCATTTTAAAATAGGAGTTTTGTAAAAATTGATTTTTTCAAAAAAATTTATTATTTTCTATTTTTTTAATTTTTTTTTTCTAATTCGAGGTAAATTTTTGTAAGTATATACATACATATGTATATTTGTTTATAAAATTTTGTGATAAAAATAGAAACACAACGCGATAAAAATTATAGGCTGAATTTCTTTATTCATTCTGAACGTTTGGAATAAACTTTTTTGTTTACTTATTCTTTACAACGTTCCTGATGATATGTTAACGTATATTTCAAACGTATTCTGTTTATTCCGGCTGTGAAATGGGATTATCCGGAATGTATAAAGAAACGCAGCCATAAATTCCATACAAATTTAACATAACAAAACAGAAAGCTTTAAAACGACTCAGTTTACTCTTTGGGAAGCATGAAAAAAAAATTGACACAATAAATTATTGACTATTTACAAGCTTTTTTTATTGTAATGACACTGGTATTTTTGATGCCCAATTTTGTCATTAAATGTTTTGTAATTTGATTCGCAGAGGACATTCGGGGTATACATACGTTTGTTTCCACATTTCGTTTTGTAAATGGCACAAATTTTTTTTTATTTTTGTTTTTTGTAATTTGATTGTTTGGTGAAAATGCGGTATTGGAAAATTTGAATAAAAAAATGCATATCACTTGTTACAAGGCTATTGTATAATTTTTAACAATTTTATGAACCTTTTTTCGGACCATACTGCACATTTTATTTTCTACAAACGCGTTCAAATGCTTTGCGCCAACTAGATTTTGTATTACCACAAATAGTTTTTACTAAAACACATTTAAATATTTATTCAGAACTAACATTTTACACGGGTTTCCTCAGCATAAGCTTCGAGCTACAACAAAAACAACAACCGACGTTTTTACACTGCAAAATTATAAAAATCTACTAATTCGCATAGCCTTACCTTAGCACTGCTTTGTTTTAAGTTGGAATTCAAGTCGCTACCCCCTTTTCTCCTACCATTTATTGCAGTATTATGGGCTCGCATAGTTTAAGTGAACATTCAGACGAAGGCTTCGAGGAGAACGATGCACTGGAAGTGGGCGGTGCTGTCGGTAAAATTGTGTCGCGCTTCATCGATCGCGTCTGCACCGAGGGCGGTGTAACCTCCGAGCACATACGCAATCTGCATGACATGGTGCCTGGTGTGGTGCACATGCACATTGAAATGCTGGAGTCGGTGTATCTGGAGTCCAAACGGCATCCACATGTGCAGAAGCCGAAGATACAAACGCCATGTCTGCTGCCAGGCGAGGAGATTGTAACAGATCACTTGCGCTGCTATCTGATGCCCGATGGGCGCGAAGATGACACGCAAAGTTGGATACCAGCCGAAGGTGCACTGTTCTTAACCAACTATCGCATCGTGTTCAAGGGTAGGTCAAATGGGAGTCGCAATTTATAAAATAATGAATTTTGGATTAACCCCAAATACTTTTAGGTTCACCCTGTGATCCGCTCGCTTGCGAACAGACCATCATACGCGCCTTTCCCATCTCCTCGCTGCTGAAGGAGAAAAAGATCTCAGTACTTTACCTATCGCATTTAGATCAAACTCTGCCAGAGGGTTTACAGTTACGCTCCAGCACCTTTCAGCTAATGAAAATCGCATTCGACACGGAGGTGACACCAGAAATGATTGAGACTTTCCGCAAAATACTCACGAAGGCGCGGCATCCGATCGACGAATTCGAACACTTCGCCTTCCAATCGTACGGTACCATAATGCATGGCACTGCACCATCTAAAACCAAAGAAAAATACTCAACACTAAAGGGTTTCGCTAAGAAAACAATTTTACGCAAATTCAAACAAAAAGCACCAACTAAACGAAAATTGGTTGCTTCGACACTCGATTTTGATACGCTCGCACCATCGACGGAAGCCATCGATACACATTCGCTTGACGATGAACTCGAAGATGATGAGTTCGAAACAAATACAGACACCATGCCACGCCTGCTGACCGCCAAGGATGTAGAACGCATGCGGGAACGCAGTTATGTGCGCGATTGGAAGCGTTTGGGTTTTGATGATGCACAAAATGGCTTCCGCATAACCACTGTGAATGCCAATTACAGTCTCTGTCGTTCGTATCCTGCACTCTTGGTAGCACCTGTGCAAATAAATGACGCCGCACTATTACATTTGGTGCGCTGCTACAAGAGTCAACGCATACCGGTGGTGACGTGGCGTCACCGCAATGGTGCTTTGCTGATAAGAGGCGCGCTGCCACACAGCAAGTCGGTTATCGGTGAGTTTAATAAGATTTTCATTGCAAGCGAATTGGTGATGTTATTTGAAAATTTTACAATTCATAACAGGCATGCTTAAAAACTCCACGGGTTCGAACACGATGTCACACGACGTCGCCAACTATCACGAACAGGATAAATACATTTCAGCGCTCATTGACTCAATGCCGAAAAATCTCTCTCTAGCATTGGCGCAATACAATTTGACCGGCATGAATTTGTCAATGAATTCGCTGCTATTGAACGCTGGTGATGAGTCGTCCTACCTTAACCGCGCAGACACTTCACTGACGCCGGAAGTTAGTCGCAAACATAAGTCGGCACATTCAGCGAGCAGTGATGCGAAATCAAATAACTGGACCGATTCTTTGAAACCAAAATCGAATACAATAAAAAATAACTCATCAGTCTCAGCAGCTGCGTCAGCGTATCGAAAGTTGCGGCTGTATGTTTTAGGTAATTAGCATATTTTGTAACACTCCTATATTCACTTCTTCATTCTCGTACTCACCTCTTTTTCTTTTCGCATGTGTCAGGTGAAAAATCTCAAACAAAATCTGGCATCAATGCAGATCTCTGCGCCGAATTCATAGCCGTCGACTATGCTGACTATCGGCAATCACGCATCGCTTTCAAGAAGCTTATGCGCGCATGCCTACCCTCGAATACAACCAACGAAGCGGATCAAACGTTCGCCAAAAGCGTTGAACAATCCGAGTGGCTGCAACAAATCTCTTCGCTTCTGCAGCTTTCTGGCGCTGTGGTCGATTTAATGGATTTGCAAGAGTCAAGTGTGATGCTCTCGCTGGAGGATGGCTGGGATATTACTGCGCAAATATCTTCGATTGCACAACTATGTCTCGATCCATACTATCGCACAATGGAGGGCTTCCGTGTACTCATCGAGAAGGATTGGATTGCATTTGGACATCGTTTTGCACATCGTAGCAATTTGAAGCCAACGCATGGCAATTCGAGTATAGCATTTGCGCCAACTTTCTTGCAATTTTTAGATGCTGTTTACCAAATACAAAAACAATTTCCAATGGCATTTGAATTCAATGAGTTTTATGTACGCTTCTTGGCCTACCACATGGTTTCGTGTCGTTTTCGCACTTTTCTCTTTGACTGTGAAGTGGAACGTTTCGATTTGGGTATCGCTTCAGTAGAGGATAAACGGGGTTCATTGAGCACCAAACATCACATGCTAGGTAATAATAAGTTTAAGCTCGGATAATTATTTTTAAATGTCACAAGATATACCTACTTATCTGCTTCTGTACACGCTACACTCGACTACCATTAACTTAATTAACACATTTCTATAATCGCAGCTAACACCGGTTCCGATGACGAGTGCGTCTACCCCATGGACGTACGCAGCAAGGCGGCACAATCTGCGGTGAATTTCAATCGCATCGGTCACTCCATCTTCGACTACATCGAACGTCAGCATGCGAAGTCACAGATTTTCTACAATTTCATGTACTGTGTACGCGACGATGTACTGCGTCCGCAGAGCTCTTTGCCTGCCCTAGATCTCTGGCCCTACTACACCAACGAAGAGTTGGCGCAGGGTCCACCGTACGATCTGGAGTTGACAAATGCCGATGATGAAATTGATCTCTCCGAGTTGCGTGGCAAACGAATTGTAATTAGCGCTGGCTATGATAATATCGAAAAGAGTAACCCCAATGCATTTGTTTGTCTATTGAGTGATGTGCGACAAGCGGAAACCGAACGTGGCCATCTGCCACAAAAATGGTTGCAAGTGTGGGATCAATTGGAGGTACCCCAAATGGAAGAGCTGACGCGCAAGTCATCGTTGAGTAGTATTCTATTGCAATCGCACGGAAAATTAGCGCACAAACGTTCCACTTTGGAGATACTCATGAAGGGTCGCTTAAGTGGCTATCAGGATAAATTCTTTCATCCACATCGTTTCGAGAAGCATCCCTATACAACGCCCACCAATTGCAATCACTGCACCAAGCTTCTATGGGGTCCAGTCGGTTATCGCTGCATGGATTGTGGCAATTCTTATCACGAAAAATGCACCGAGGTGTCATTGAAGAACTGCACCAAATATAAGGCGGTGGATGGTGTAGTGCCGCCAAATGTCAACATATCGCAGGGTGACACCTCAAGTATAGCATCGAGTGCCGCTACAACGGCGCGTACTTCAAGTCATCATTTCTACAATCAATTTAGCAGCAATGTGGCGGAGAATCGAACACATGAGGGGTGAGTGTGATGACCTAAAACGTAGTGTTTTTATTTTTAATTTAAATGCTTGAAAATTCATGCATACATTTGGCTCGTCGAAGAAACCTATGTAGATTTATTATAACTGTGTTCGTATGGAAAAGTAGCTTATGTCGAAAGGCCGGCTTTAGTATAATGCGGCATTCCCTTTATTCTTTAAACGACAGGGAATTTTTTGATGAGACTTAAAAAGAATATTGCCTTGCTAGTATCGGAACTATTTCTTGCACGTTTATTTGCTAAAACGGCTTAGCGCCCGTAAGTCATTCGCAATCGTATGCTGCGAATGCCGATTTATACTAAAGCCAGCCTTTCGACATAAGCTACTTTTCCATACGAACACAGATAAGAATGAATACGATTTGCTAGAGACTATATATTTTTGGAAGGCTTGATCCGGAATTTTTTTTTATTCCCTTAGGTTTTGGTTTCTTAAAAGGGGCGGATTGCTAGTCTAGCAGACCGCCCTATATATTCTTTAATTTTCTGAATATTCTTAATTCATTCTACGACTTTCTTTTCTCTTTTTCAAGGCATCTTTATAAACGCGGCGCCCTGCTGAAAGGCTGGAAGCAGCGTTGGTTTGTGCTGGACTCCATAAAACATCAACTGCGTTATTATGATTCTGGCGAGGATTCACAATGCAAAGGGGTTATAGGTGAGTTGTCGAATGGAAATATTTACTAAAATCTTATCAGACAACTGGAAAATAAACGTTAGCTGCATTTGATAGTAGTAGGTTGAATAAGGAAATGAATTAGGGGTATGCACTTCTGACTTTGCACATCGATGATGTGGGTTCGATACCTGCTGAAGTCTAGAAAAAGAAGTCTGATGAGGAGATGTGGTGATCTCCGAAATAGCATATAACTTCTACCGCTTAGACTTTGTTGCTTTTTTCATTTTCCTAATAGACATATTCGTGATACAAAGCACAATAACAATATTAAAATTTTAAAATTGCGTAATACAAAAAAAAACTACGCTCTTTTATAAAACTTTCTAAAATATTGAATTGCCTTTTTTACATATTTTTAATCCTGACACAGAATTGGCCGAAGTGCAATCAGTTACGCCAGCGCAACCAGCACAAATTGGTACGAAGCGCATAGACGAGAAGGGCTTCTTTGATGTAAGTAATCACAAATACTCCTATGCATATACATATGTACTTATGTTAAGGCCTTTTTTCTCGAGCTTTTGAGTTTTTGGATTATGTCACTCTGATCGTGATAGACACGGATCTGAATAAGCAACATCTCAAAACCAATGCAAGAACTGTACATATTTAAACAAAAATAACCCTCCCTTTCTCTTCCCTAGAGAGGAAGCGATGTTGGACGCACCAGGGCTATTTTTTTTTTTTTTTTTTTTGAAAGGGTTCAGTTTGACCCTTGATAAATCTTCATGAAAGAATTCGGGTATGCAGTTTTATAGCCCATTAAATTTTAGTATAATAATGTGCAAATTTTAAATGTCTAAAAATTCGCGTTGATTTTTGAGAATTTTTTTTTGCTGACTGTCTTACGCATTTGTTCCATATAAAGTATTTTCAGATTTTTTTCGTTATACAATGCATTTTTTTTAGAAATTCTTATTAAAACAGTATATGGCTAGCTTAAAGTGAAAATTTGTTAAGTCCAATTTTTAAAAATGTACAGGAGAAAAGAAAAACATAGAAAACTAATTTAATTTTTTTTTGTTGGTGTATTCAAACTAAAACATAACTGTACTATTTGGTAGAATTCGACATTAATAAAAATTCTGCATTCCTTTGAATTTTTCGGCTTCTTTGCGCTTTCTTTTAAAATTTTCATTTCACTGCCTAAAAATAGGCAGAAATAAAATAAATAGTTCGGTGTTTTTGAAAATGATTTTTAATTTTCCTTGTTTTCTGTATCACAATGTTAGTTTTTACAAAAAGTAGACTTGGCAACTTTTCACTTCTAGCTAGCGATGCGCATATACATTCATCGTCCATTAAAATTTTATCAACGGCCCTTATTGTCTCCAAAGTTCTGTTGGCTGAAAAATGCGGCTTTGAATTTTTCCAACACCCGTTTGGAAGTAGAGACCTGCGCTCCTCTAAACAGCTTCATCTGAATCTTATCCAAACCACTTATTTTCGCAGAGCTGTGGGCTTTATTTTTAATATAAAATTTTCTGAAATTTTTTAAGTTTGCCATAATCACTTAAGTAAAGGCAAAAAAGGCAACATCATATGTACATATTTGGAACCAAGGAAAGCTAAATCGTGGTCATTATTTAAAGAAACTACTCTTAACGAAAGGTCTACAACTCCCATAAATCCGTTCCCTGTTTATGACAATAAATGTTGCAGTACAAATAATTTCTTTTTTTTTAGATAGTTTCTATGCAATCCAGCTTACGAATTACAAAATATTTTGGTAGGTGTCATGAAAATAAGCAAATATTATAATTTGCTTAGAAAAAAAGGCACCGGTAGTGTACAGAATATGTATACATATCGTTGAGGAAATGTAGAAAGGCCTTAACTGAAATTTTTTCAAGAAAACATTTTGTTGCGTTTTTAAGTAGTAGCTCACACTAAAACCAGTGACGAAAATAACAGTTAAATATCAAGCTTTTTATTTTTAGATCATTGCAAAATCGTTACTTTTTCCATTCAAGAACAGTCGTTAAATTTGGATTTTTAAGTTTTCGATTAAAAATCATCGTTATATTGAATTTTTATTTATGATTTATGATCTTAAAACCGATATGTACATAAAAACATACATATGTATGGATGTACAAAGATATGATATATTCATAAATATATATGTAATTCAAATCTATACTCTCCTTTTTCACATAGCTGAAGACCAATCGGCGCACCTACAACTTTTATGCGGTTAATGCGAATTTAGCACAAGAATGGATTGAGAAAATTCAAGCTTGCTTACAGTAAATGAATTTAGCTGCTCATTGGGAGCATTTCCTCATACATATTTCCGTTTCTTGCGTGTATTATTTTTTACGTATAAATATTTTAGCTAAGCTAAGCTTAACATAGAAGAAAAATTTAATTAAACTACAAAAAATGGACGACCAAATGAAATAAGTATAAATAAAAAAATATATAGCGTTATACTCAAAGTTTAGCAGCGGTAATGAAGCGAAAAACAAAAACAAAAATATACAAAATTAAATATACAATATATTAGCATTATTTAAGCAATTATGTTTAAGAAACTTTGTGTGTGATTATTATTTTCTGCTTCGCTTTTTGTAATATTTTTTTTTTTTTTAAGAAATCAAATGAAATCTTTTATACTTTAATTACGCTGCCAACAGCAAATAAAAAAATATGAATCGTTAGTAAAAAAAAAAATAAAAATTAATTAAATATACATAAATATCGACGCTCTCCCATCTGTGTGCGTAAGTGTGTGTATGCGCGCGCATTTTGTATTTACATACATACTTGCATACTACATAGTATAAATTAGCTTTGGCTTCAATTTCTTATTATCTCTTTACGAAAAACGCAATTTCTCTTTAGTACTAGATGACATTGCGCTGCATTTGTATGTCCTGTATAGTAGTATATACATAATAAATGAGTTATAGATCGATTAGTCTAATTATTCTTATAATAATTATTAAACGTTTCTTTTTACTATTTAAAAAACATATTTTATAGACAAGCTGCAATTACCCTGTATTTAATAGAGAGGTGAGTTTTGAAAATTACTTTTTTCTATATTTAAATAAATATGCATACATACATAAACACACCTATAAGTAAATGTATACAGAGATGGGCAGCTAAATAGAGCCAATATTTAATTGTGTAGATATTTCGAAATAAATTGCATATTTTACAAATCAACCGAAATGTATAACAGCAGGTGTAAAAACGCGTGTAAAGAAATACATGAAAGAAATTGTTGTGCTCTATTTGGTGGTTTACCTCTGTACACAATAAAATATACATACAAAAAACCTTGTGTACCAAAAGATATTTGAAAATGCTTTTCCGCATGCTAACCTAAATGTAAAAGAAATACATAACATAAATACATACATAAATAACTTAATAAATAGATTTTTTCAATGTGATCAACCGATTAAATACTAATACATAAATACATACATATATACATACATACAACAAGAAAGTTAAACTTATAAATAAATAGCATACATGTAGTATTGTTTAATATTTAATAATTGAAATTTTCTTATTCTTGAAGGAAGGGAAAGGTAAGCACAACATCGGAAAAACCACTTTTTAGGAAAAGCCTGGAAATTGTACAAAGCAGAGATCGTACCGGTTATGCAATGTTTGCCTGACCATTTTTTTTGAGGCGGCAGTATTTGCCTTTTATTCTTCAGGCCTTGATATGTATGTAAGGGTGGTCCATTTTTATGTATGTGAAAAACAAATTTTACTGCTCTCATCCCCTAGCATTTTTCTGTATCGAAAAAAATATTTCGAAATAAAAAAATATTTAAATATTTTTATTTTATATATTTAAAATATGATTAAATAAACATTGGGCATTGTTATTGCAAGTTTCCTGAAGAGAAACAAAGTTTTCCCGTCGAAAATTATTGAATTTCAAGACATCTGTACAATTTCTACGCTAATTTTTTCCCCCCACATAAAATACATGGAAAACTTTGATTGCTTTGAACGGCCACAAAATAGTTTCTTATTTCAAAATAATAAGAAAATAGGGGAGTATTTTTTCGGTATAGAACATTCCTAGGGAGTGAGAGCATTAAAATTCCGACTTTACTTTTTTTTTGGGCCCCCCTAATGTACATACTAGGTGCGCAAGATTTTTTTACTTTCGTGATTCTTCGTATTATATACTTGGAATTTTTTAAGTAATTAGGGGACTCTTCGGGACTTTACGGCAACCACTTGTTATATATTTTGGGATCAAACAGGATTTTCAGGACTAAATCGGGATTTTCGGGATTGTTTAAGGATTATCGAGACATTCGGGACTCTCTGAACTATTTCGGGACTACTTTGGGATACTACTACTTTGGAATTTTCCGAACTATTTCAAGATTAAGTGATCGTAACTTTGCTAGAAGTGGTTCTGCAACAAATTTAATAACTTTTTAAATTATATTTTTTTAGGCAAAAAGGGTCTCGGTTCTAAAATTTATTAAAGAAGATGGAATAAAAACATTAAATTTAAAAAAATAAAAAATAAAATGATTCTATTGTTTGCCACTTATGTTTATTTATTTTTAAGAATTTTCAATTAAAACACATCTCATTTTCGAACAAAACCCTGTTTAAAACTTTGTAGAAAACTAAAAAAAAATCAACAAATTTTCATCCAAATTTCAAACTTTTTTCTCAGAAGTGTTAGAATTTTTTTATTATACAGTTTTATAGCCCACTCAATTGTAGTGTAATAATTTGCGAGTTTCAAGCGCCTTTAATTTACCGTTTATTTTTTAGATTTTTTTGTCGCATTTGCTTCCATATAACGAATAAACACAATTTATTTTTATATAGACGAAAACCGCAAAATCTTACGGTTAGAAAACGTCTCAAAATCTTAACCTCAACATTTTGGAACCCATTGTGAAACGAACTGTGAAATCGAAAATAACTAGTTACAGGTTGGGTAATGAAAATTGTGAATGCCATATGAGTGCTGGGAAAGTTACTCCTTAGACTAAATATACAATTATTTACGCATAGCGCATTACTACTTAAGTAAAGGCCTTACTTAACGTCAATCCTGTAACAGGACAAACCCATTGAGCTATGCACACCCCGTAAGCTCTTGTTGCTAATCCATTTCCTTATTCAACCTAAAATACTATCAAGTGCAGGTGATTCGCCGCTATTTCCTAACAAACAAATCGTGGGACAAGTCGCAATAACACTATTGAAATAAGCATTAATACGCCACAATAAAATTAAGAAAGAAACCCATTCTAGATGTAAATTACTCGTCTAATATTTTAAATAGCTCTGATATAAAAGACTTTAAAGTAATTACATACCAATTTCAAGCATTTTCAAACAATAACAATTTGCTCGTTTATTTAAGCGACACTAACCACTAAAGGAATGTTGTCCAGTACACAATATTTAGTATAAAAAAGGAGAATGGAAAAAAGAAACGCGAAAATTTATCAATATAAATCGCTGTGGCATGTCCATGGCAGAATGTGTCATACTGTGGCTCAATTATGGATTCACGGTGATGATTCTACATAGAAATATTAGTGATATTATTCGTATTTATTTATTACAAAATTTAAAAATCAAAGCGGTCACCATCACCTTTCTCACCTTCAAATCACCCAAATCGTGTATATTCTCATCCGAATAACCCTTCATGGCTTTCGTTGCCACGGGTCCCATATAGTTATTGACCACAGCAAATTCCATCAACGATAGGAATACAAATACCGAACATGATGACATCCACACATCGATGGCTTTCACATAGGATACGGGCGGCAGCGATTGTTGTGATTGTGTATTTTGTGTAGCGAGTGTTAGTAGCGATGTGACGCCGAGTGTGACGCGTGCCGGTATCGCTTCGGGTTTAATCCAAAATGAAATCCATGACATGACCACAATAAGTGCAGATGGAATGTAGCTGTGAGTGAGGAGTGGAATGAGGAATGAATTAAAAAAAAAATAATAATGTGCTTCATTTACCGTAATAGGGGCACTTACGTGTGAAAGAGATGATAGCCAAGACGTCGACGCAGATTGAAAACTATAGCCAGGCAAGTGAAATTACCTGAAAAATTAATTTTGGGAAACTCATAAATGTCGATAGATAAACATCCAAGAAATAATTTTTATGCGAAATACGTATATGGAATTTAGATAAGGATATGAATATGTTTAGTCATCGCTATCACTACGTTAATGAAAGTATTTTAAAATCCAAAAGATATGTCTTATTGAAATCGCCTTTCTCATTGCAGATTATGATTTCCTCGTGCTATAAAAAAAAAATAAACTCATGATTTCGAGACAGAATTACTGCTTCACTTTTTGTTTTTTTTTTATGTTAATAGTAGCTTGTTTTAAGCATTTCTAATAAAATTAAATTAAAAGTTTCGTGTTTTTTGAATCATTCGCAATTTTCTAAGGATTTTTTCAGGGCCGTTCAGAGTTTTCGGTAGTCTACATGTTTTAATTTTCGCGAACTTTTGGGATTTTATTTTAGCTATTCTAGATTTTTTTCGGACTGCGGAAATTTTTCGATATTTCTGTTTTACGTTTTAGGATTTTTTCGGAGTTTCTGTGTTTTTTCGAAGATTTTCTGGGTTATTTGTATTTAATTTTCCGGGATCGAGTTTACTTTTCGGATTACAGAGAGTCGTCGTGCTTTACGTTTTGCGATTCTTCTGCACTTTTCGGATTCGTTTTACTTTTCGCGAGCTTCGGGATTTTTTAGGACTTTTCTGAACTTTGTGAATTTTTTCGAGACATATTTGGAAATTCTCTCAACTTCTTCTGCGCTTCCCTGGATTCTTGGTTTCTATTTCACGATTTTTTCGAAGTTTTCTAGATTTTTCGTAGCTAACTCTGAATAGCTTGTGCTTTCTTTTCCAGGATTATTTGGAGCTTTTCGAGACTTTTCGGTATTCTTCAGGCTTTGCAGATTCTACAAGTTTTATTTTTCGAGAGCTTTAAGCATTTTTTCAGGACTATTCGGAATTTTTTCGGTGTTGGTCGTATATTACTTTTCGTTGTTTTTCCGACTTTAGGAGCTTTTCAGTATTCTTATTCCCAGTTTCGCCAATCAATATTAAAATTTATCAGGTTGAAAAAAAAAACTTGAAGAGTTTTGGTCCATATTGAATTTCAAATAAAGTTTGTGCCTTGAGTCTTTGGTTTTTGCGCAGCTCCTTGTATGCGCAGTGCTTATGTATGTATGTATGTATGGACGCATGGGTGAGTGTGTGCGTGTGTGTGTGTGAATTTTTGCACCCGTATTAAATTTCATTTATCCACCTAAATATCAAATAATCATACCTGTCGAGTATTCTATGGTACAATCGGTTGTATAATTATTCGATATATCCAATTGTGGTAATTCAATTTCGCTATTAACCACCAATGGATCGGTCATATTCCAAATGAATACCAAATCTTCAACCGTGTGTGATACTAAAACAGAAAGTTAGTTACATAAGTTCAAACAAGAAAAAAATTACTAATTTAAATCAAAACAACTTACAACTCTCAATCATCATGGAACAAATTTGTGTATCATGTGGATAGGATTCGAATTTCATGGCACAAGATAACACCAAAGTTAGTCTGCAAAGGCAAAGTAGGCAATGGGATTACATATTTCAATTTAATGTTCTGTTAAATTTTTATGAAAAAATGCATTCTCATCAACAAATCAATTGCATACTCGTAACTCACTTTGACATGTAGAGCAATGTCTTGTCATGATATAGCCATAGATAATGATTTGGTATGCTCATCTCATGGAATGTGACTTTTTTGGCATTCTTGAAGAAGCAATCTGGCCGCCAAATGCTATGCAACCAATCGACATCCAGTATACGATACTGTTCGCTCATGTTCTCTGGCAGTCGCAGGCGGGGATCACGCCAACTTTGTGCTAGGAATACGTCGGTGACATATGTCTATAAGTACAGATAGTTTTGCATATTCTTGAATTTTGCAAAATAGTTTTTTTTTTTAATTTTTTTTTTGTGTAATTACCATCGATTCTTCATTGATCGAATCCAATGACAACACTGTCACATGAAAATAGACAACCGTCGGCTGTCCGAGTAATTTTGGCGCGCGATTTTTGTCGTAATTTTTCGATGGTATTGGCAATATATCAGGCAATGATAAGCTGGATTCGATGCCGGTGACTAATTCTGCACTTTCAGTGATATTTCTAAAAATTAAAGATGGTGGTTATTTTGTAAATGAAAGTAATTTTTTGTTATATTTTAATCTAAATTATAGTTCTGGCAAAGCCGATCCCAAGGAGAGAAATCCCTCAATGTCGAGACACCACACTTGTCCCCCTACGAGCTCTGCCAACTCACTCTACCAGTTACTTACACGGGTCCCATCACCCGTGAATGAGGAGGAGCACCAAGCCATGCAACTAAACTGTCTACTCGTATTTGAGGCGAATCCCAGTACATTTACAACATTTTAAAGCGGCCTTAGCCGTTTTGGAACGGACATTTTGCAAGCATCGCCTTTATACCGCAAACGATGGAACGATAATATATATGAGCTTTACAACGATATAGACATAGTACGGCGGATTGAAATACAGTGGCTCCGCTGGCTTGAACATTTCGTACGAATGGACAGACAACGCAGTTAACTACTAAGGACTAGGTCGCAGTGTAGGTGGATTTATCTTTCTAGAGATTTTAAGCTCCGCCCACTACAGAGACTAACAAACCATTGTGGCAGGCACCGTTGGCAACTCATGGTAGGATATGATGCAAATGCACATAAAACCAAGTGGCGCGGCAGTGAGCGAGTGGTTCTTCTTGTTCTTGATTGGCACTACCACCTCTTAAGCAATTTTGGCCGAGTTAAACATAGCACCAATTAGAATGGCCGAGTGAAGCTATGTAAGTCCCTATCCAGCTGATCTTTCCAATGCAGAGAAGCCCCATTCCTCTTTCTCTGCAACCACCAGCTCGTACCATACGGAGTACTTTCAGGGTGGTTCTTTTGTATCCATTCGTACGATATGACCAGGTCAGCGCAGCGCCAAATTTTGATTCTCGTGGTATGTCAATGTCACTGTAAAGCTCATACCATTCCATAGTGTCTGCGGTACGTCGAGAGAGGACTTTAATTCTCAATTTCCTGCTTAATCCAAAGTAGCACTTGTTGGCAAGGGTGATTCTACGTCAGATTGCAAAGCTAACATTATAATCGGCTTTCACGATAGTTCCCAAGTATAAATACGAGTTCTTCATAAACTTCAAAATCATATCTTTCAAATGTTAGGTGCCCAGGCGCGCCTGTGCGGTTCAGTTCCGCAGTTCTTAATATCTTCTTCAACTTTAGCTTAAAGAAATCTCACGAAACCTGTTTTGGTATCAAACTGCTCCTTTCAAAATCTGTCGGAGCAAATGGTGCTGCTCAGCGCCATTTTACACGGTCGTTTTAGCGCGCAATTCTGGCTTAGGTGGTTGCAAGCCTTTTGTAAGAGAATTGAAAAAACTATAGGCAAGATAGTTTGAAAGTTTTAGTTTAGTCTGGCAAGAAAGTCTTCCAAAAAACAGCTACCTTGCCAATTTTCATGATGAAAAGCTCTTGGCCGAAAGCACTTGAGCGTGTTCCAAATGGAGATGTATATCATTTTGCACCAATAGTCGCAATGGCGAGGAAGCAAAGCATTGGCGTGGCATTCGAGAGATCCGAGGCTCAAATCCTGGGGCAGCGTACTTTTTTATTACATTTTTTTAATCAAAATTTCTAATTAAATTTTTAAGTTTAACAAAGGAAAAATATTTTTTTTTTTTTATAAACTTATTTTATATATTTTTTCTTTTTTAATTTAATTTTCTTTTAATTTTTATATATGAATATGAAAAATATATATTTTTTAAATTTCGTTTAATTTTAAATAGCTTATTTTTTTAATTGATGTACTTTCTTTTCTTTTTTAATTTATTTTTCTTTTAATTGTATACTTTTCGATTCATTTAATTTGTAGGACCTTTTTAATTTTTCAATTTGTTTATCTAATTCTCCTTTAATTTCTAGTTTAGTTTATTTATATACATATATTATAACAAGCGAAGTGTCAGAAGTTTGCATGTATAAACTTAAACACGTGCATCCAATTTGCTGATGTAACATTTAGTATATTCTATGCAAAATATGTATTCGAATTATGTCAATTGCAAATATAGAAATATTAAATTGTCAAAATGCACATTACTCACCTGAAACCATGAACACAATTGCACAGCAATATTGATTTTTCCAACAAATACAAATGAATAACGAAAATGACTAGAAATCTTTGTTGATTCAGTTGTTTAAGCACCGTACGCATTTTGTTGCACACACAACGGTATTGAAGTGAAAGTTTCATATGCATTTATATAATAAATATTAAAGCACTGCTGTGACGTTATTTTGTGTACCAAGTAAACGCGCAGCATAAATTTTAAATTTAATTTGCTATTTGCTTAAAAGTGTAATATTTAACCAAACGATTATATTTAATAAAAGTTTCTCATTTGTTATATTCACAAATATGTACATATTTTATTATAAATGTAGTAATTATTGTACTCAATTAGCAAGTTTTGTATGTTGGCGCTTGTCTGCGTTAGCACTTTTCATAAGTTTGCGTGGAATAAAAATAATTGCGATTTAAAAGTTGTTGCTTTTATTAATTTTGTTCGCACTTTGAATTTACTTAAAAATCGTTGCAGCAAAATATGACACATCATCACTAATTTGCACTCACTTCAGTGCATTTTTTTATTTTTTTATTTTTTTTTTTTTTGTATTGCAAAAATAGCCTACAAATTTTGTAGCACAATTTCACGTGGCTAATAATACAATATGCCCATTTGTAATAATTTCTGCGGATTATTTTTCGTTTTTCTAACTAAATGAATGCTGATTTGACACTTTACGTGCACTTTTTTTGGCCAGGTGTGATAAATTGCATTGTACGGCTTCTTTGAATGCATTTCAGTTGCGGATTTGCATTCTTGCATTTCAAATTGACATTTGGGGGTGGCGACGGCGCTAAAGCTGACTGCAATATAGGAAAATAACAAATGATTGTAAATAAAAGCAAAATGACAAGACTTGCACTAGTTTTGTTTTCATCGTAAATTTCGCGTATTTAGCATTTTGCATTCCGTAAATGACCCCAAATGTAAACAAAATTAAATGAAATGTAGATCCAGAGAAAGTATGAGAAACACGTGGTGGATTACATTACATATGTATGTACATATGTACATAAATAGTTTTGCAAATTTAAAGATAAGTTAGATTGGGATACTTGCACATACATATGTACATATTTTGTATATATGTTTATTTTTAATAATTTATTAAGGAAATTAAAATGCATATCTATGCTCATAATTTTGAAAGTGGTCTATATCATTTCAAACAAAATGCATCTGTAAAGCATTCTACTGTCGTAAACTAATCACCTTTTACTTTTTGTTGATGAAGTTAGATGAATAAGCGACCAGTTCAGATAGAGGTACATAAGCCGTCATCGATTCGCCACTTCGCTGCTTGCTATGTTTGAGTTCCGGTCGCTTAACGAAAAATTTTGCATGTGAAAGCAACAACAAAGTTAGCTAGCACGGATAGACGATAGCGAGTTTGGTTGTACCTCATTGTGTTCGTTCGTTTCGCCACTCGCTAACTGTTGGCGAATCGATGACGGCTATAAATGATCACTGAAGCGCAAAAGATAACTACTAAATGGCTGCTCGTCGCCATGTAGTCGAGGAGGGTTATGTCTGCAATTTTATTAATACAATTGTTGTAACAGCTGCAAAATGCCGTCGGACCATGTGATCGAGTAAATTGAATAGCATTTGATTGATTGATTCGGTTAAAAATTTTGTGGAAACTATATTTTTGTGACTGCTCTGGCGTAATGGTCTCCGGACCGGCCATCTAAATTTAAAACCAAACAAACAAAGTAACACAAAAGCTGTGAAATGATTTAGACCACTTTCAAAATTTGCGGCACGTGCCTGCTACAGTTTAGCGGAAACAAGTTAAAAACTCAAGCCGCCAGTTTTGTATCCGCAAATGTTTAAGCGGAGAAAACAGCCGTGTCGGCGTTGACACTAACAGCATACAGCGCCATCTATTTTTAATATTCCTGATGCCAGATATACATCATCATATCCGTTCATTTAAAAATAGGCTGGTGGTAATTCCACCAGAGAACGTTTACAGAGAACGTTAAATACAGAGAAGCAGCATTGTCATCGAAATGGCAGATTTACGTTCCAACTGGTTCAGATCGCGTACACACCACTCGGCGGCGTACGGCTGTTAATAATCGCGTACTCACCACTAATTAACAGTGAGACCGTGAGAACCGCCAACTAACAGAATTTGAGTATGTAATGAAATTGGAAAATCTTCATTTTTTTTGTGAATTGTACAAACAAATGTNTTTCTCTGACGTTTATAAATTAGAAGGCGCATTTTCAGTGTGAACTAATTGTAACAGCTACTTTAGAAGATCATCTTGCCTTTCAGTCACCGTTAGCGCCCCGCCGGCGCTTTTAGGCGCTGAAATATGCATTTGGTAAGATTTTATCGATAAGGCTTGCGAATTGAATACGATAGCATCGGAGCACACTTTCTTTTACATTACTAAATTTCTTTTCTTCTTATATTTCTTTTTTATTTCCCCCCAAAAAAAATAAAAAATTCCTTAAGCACAAATTTGAATTGCAAACATTATTCTATGTTAACACGATAACATAAACCGTTAATATCGATAACTCGATTTATTTGAATAAAAAAACATCCTCTTCCACATGTGTTTACATTTATTACTTGTCACATATTACACTAGGCCTGGGTAACGGCGCAAATTTTTTGGCGCTGACACACCAACTCCAGCGCCACTGTCGGAATCAGCACAGTGTGTTGGCGCAATTGCGCCTCTTCAGGCTAAAGCTCATTTCCTTTATTGCTGCACGCTACACCAGAGTGAATTAATACAAGGTGATATCGGTTGAGAAAAAACTCATGTATACCCAAGTTCAAAACCCAAAAATACAACAAACCCATCATTTGCACATTCAGAAGGACCGCGACGAATTCTAGCTGTGCTGCACATTTTACAAGAGACATTTCTGTTTCGGGTGTTCTTTGCTGGTTCTTTGCGACACCCGTCGTTGTCAGTGTTCCGGTGTTGAACTAAGGTGAATTAATACAAGGTGGTATCGGTTGGGCAAAAACAAGCCAAGTTCAAAACCCAAAAATACAACAAAGACATAATTTTCACATTTAGAAGGACCGCGGCTAATTTTAGCAACAACACCTTGTAAAAATTCGCCTTGTGCTGCACATTTTACAAGTGACACTTCGCTTTTGTGTGTTCTTTGCTGGTTCTTT